TCATGACACCCGTTTTATCGATCTTGCCCTCCAGCCAAGCGGCATGCGCACGCTCAATCGCATTCTGACAGAAACTAAGTCAGCCAGACCGAAAACAGGAAAGAAAGAAAGTAAAGGCAACTCACAGCTCCATTGAAAGCCCCCGGCAAAGCAGGATGAAGGTTAATGATCTTCAACTGCTTAGCCTCTAGTGGCTCAAGGAATTTCGGCGATAGCACATGCATGAAACCCAAACAAGCGACCAGGTCCGGCGAGTCTGCGAGCACCAGCCGAGCCAATTCGGCATCGTACTCCTCCCGTGCTGCTTGTACGCCCTCCGGTGTCGAAGGATGCTGCTTCTTGTATTTCACAAGGTTGTGGTACTGAGTCGGAATGTCTGCTCGCTTTGCCCGTTCGAGTCCGTATGCGTCCTTGCGATTGGAAATAACTCGCACGATTTTGGCAGGAATTTGACCTTCGCCGACCTTATCGATTACCGCCTGTAAATTCGAGCCATTGCCGGAAATGAGGACGGTGAGACGGACCGGAGTCTCCATCTCGTTTGAGTCCGAGGATATATCTTTGAGGATGTACTGGGGAATCTAGAGCTGACAGAACGGTTTATTCTTCCACCGCACTAATGAATAATCTGCTGCACCTAGAATCCAAAGGATAGAAAGACAAATTGACGAATCAACAGGCGCAAAACGTCCTTGATTGATCTTGAAGCCAAAGATCCCTACTCCGACCTTTTTCTTTTGCTGATAAGGAGAGCGGGGTCGAAAATAATCGTGGGCTGACTCAGCGGGGATGCGGGGCAGCATCAACGAGCTTTTGTACCTGTGGTCATATCATTGCAGGCACTTCCCTTACATTACTTGAACTTGAAAGTGCAGCTAATATTGCGCCTAAATGCAGCTAGAATAAGACAGTGTACCTGATATTCGGGCTTCTGCAGCGAGGAACCACCATGACCATTGCATCAATATCTGAAAGCAGAGCCTGAAGGGGGAATAATGCAACAACGCTATGACAACAAAGGAACATGTAACGAAAGGTATGAGGACTTCCATCATGTCAAGTGACCAAAGCCCATTGCCCGTCTAAATTCTAGTAAAACACAATAGGAATTGACCAGAGCATCAAGAGCCATCCAATCGATAAAAAGCGCGATGGGGGTAGTCGTGAGAGATATCAAAAAGGCAAAAAGAATAAGATGTCACGTCCAGCCGTCATACTATAAGCCACACGCCTTATGTCAGCTCTGGTATAATTCGGATGTTCGAGAGAAGTCGAGAAACCTAAAGTCCAACGAAAGAGAAAGTGAAGACCAGTCATTGGCTATGATTAGCGTACGTATAGGTTCGAGCAAAACCAGCGAAACAGGCTTAAGCAGCCGCTGCATTTTGCGTGTTAGGCACTGATGTGTTGTTCGTCGTCTCAGTCACACCCTGGCCTCTACAGAGAGGGCAAGAATTCCGACCCGTGGTCAACCACTATGTCACAAATAGTTAGTCTAAGTACTTTCCATAGAGAAACGCACGCGCAGATGGAGACGAACCTGATCAATGCAATCACGATGAAAGACGTGCTTGCACTTCGTCAATTGCCTGAGCTCTTCTGCGGCTTCGTAGTCACTGAGACAAATCAGACAACGTTCGCCATCGGGGATTTGGATCGCGCCAGCGCCATCCAAAGCCTCTGCGACGAGCGATCCTGCAAGCTCTACGAGTCGATATAGTCCTCCAGCGAGATTGATGTCGTCCTGGGTGGCAACGGGTGGCTTCGCGGGTCCAAGAAGCGACGAAAGGAGAATCATATCTTCATAGGTGGGGTTCTATAAATTGTATTAGCTTTGAGTCCCGGGAAATGCCAAGAAAACAACTTACATCAGTAAAGAGACTAGGTGTTGCAAACGCAGGATGGTTCTCAGAAAGGTTGGTTCCCACGACATAAATCAGCCAGCTTCTGCCCGCAGGAGGGGGAGTGTCAGGTTCCACGACACCATTGCGTCGAACAGCGCCAGAGCCTAGCTCACGATGACGAGCATACTCAGAATCACTGCGCCGCCGTTGATGTGACGGCTGGAACGGGATCCTGTCTGCAGTGGATTCAGGCGCAGGCTCAACTGACGGTTGCATCAACGGATGCTCATTAACTTGAGGCAACGGGTTTGAAGGCAATGCCGAGGCAGAGGACAGTCTTCGATTGGGTGTTGATGCGCCTGAAGATACTGCAGATAAGCCTGGCTCAGCAGGTGTCGATGGAGGCGGATGGGGACCCGGAGGACTCTCCGAGAGAGTCGAAGGGAGTGACGGGAATGGAACGCGAGTTCCAGCGTCAGAAAATCTTCGCGCGCTTCGAAGGCCCTGGGGTGAGGTTTCAATGTTCGTCGACAAAGGGCTAGGGGCACCGAGTTGTTGTCGATTAGGTACGAATCGTGACCGATTATCAGCAAGAGGAACTGCGGGACCGTTGTCCTGACCTCGCGGTGGATTTCCTGGCGCTAGGAATGGTAGCCGCAACAATGCGTCCAAGCCTGGCGCAGCATTCGACTGTTGATCGCCAAACGGCCCACTGCCTGTGGGAACAGATCGAACGCCCACAACTACCAAAGTAACGGTGCGGCCCTCGTTATCCCCGGCGGAATTGTCAACGTCCATGCCATCGCCACGACTACCGGCAGAATCCGATTCCGTAGTTGAGTGATTTGAGGAAGCCGCAGGACTTGGATTGTCTGAGTTGGCAAACCTGAAAACCCGTAGAAAGTTAACGGGCTGGGGAGGGCTGTTCTCTCCTGAAGCACTTGCGGTGTCACTCGAGGCGGTCGGTGCTGATGTGGCATGTTGTAGACTTTGGATGAAGTTTTCCAGCGACCCTTCTAGGCCATCATTGCCCAAAGACTGGATGTTGGGCAGTACTGGGCCCGCCGCGCCAGAGAGCTGGGCAGCAATCGCAGCCGCCGCCAATTGCAGAACCCGTGAAAGAGGAGTGTGCTCGTCACGCCGAAGAACTCTGGAGGGTCTTGCACGTAAAGGTCCCGGTAATTGACGTGGAGCTGAAGCGTTTTGAGTGGACTGTGAGAAGAGTGGCGGCATTGGCATATGATTGCCACCCGCTGCAGGTTCCACAGAATCAAGTTCATGAGCGTGATCGAAATCCATGCTAGTGTCCATTGCACTCAGTGGTGGCAGACGAATGCCGGCACGGTCGCCCAGACCCCCCCGAAAATGTGAGTATTCTGTCATCTCAGTATCTGCGGTGGACGGATGGCCAAACATCTGCGTGATGGGCGCCGATAATGAATTTCGAACGCGGTTCAGTCGGGCACTGCGACGCCACGATCCTCTGGCAGGTTGTGGGGCTTGTTCTGATGATGAGTCCAAGTATGCCGAACTGGTGGGCGTATCAGGAGTCAAGGACGGATCAGTGCGTGGAATAAAATAGGGTACCCTGATCAATCGCCGCCTGGGAATGCTTCTCGAGCTGAGCGACGTGAAAGGACTAAAGCGACTGCTGCTATGAGACTCCGATCTCGGGACTGATCTTGCTACAATTCCATGCCTGTGAGCTTGTCCCTCTGCCGGAGTCTCCTCTTCACTATTAAGAAGGCCACGAATAACTGAGTTCGGTAGTATCCTGGAACCTAATCTCGACATTGTAGACTGACGTCGAGCGGCCATTCGCGCAAGTATCGCAGAGCGATACTCTTGCTGATCCGGTTCGTGCCGAGAACCATCTTCCTCGTGTATACTCTCCATCCTTGTCAACTGAGGCTGCTCAGCAGTTGGAGTACCTGTTGCCTGCCATGTCGCGGCCTCTGGATTGCCTTGAGCTGAATGAGAAGTATGGGAGATGCCGCCATTCGGTTCTGCTCCTGACGGGAGCGCGGAGTCCTCGGCCTGACCAGAGTTCGGCCTGTGATTCATGTCTTCATTGAGATTCAGTCGAACACGGTCGGTGCGGAGGAAGGTGGATTGATCTGAGAGAGTCGTGTGGCGTTGATTCCTTTGTGTAGAAGAGGACTGTCCCATAGTCACGAAGATGTGAGAATGGGAAGTGGCGATGATTGTTTATAAACTGTAGATGGCCATGGAAGGACGGATGACTAAAGGACCCAACATTAGTCAGATGGATAACAGCAGCGACATGCAATCGAACGATCAACAGCTGAAGCATACAAAAAGGACGAGCTCATTAAATCACAGATGAAGGGCAAAAGGAAATATAGCAATCCAGAATTATTCGACAAACTCGAAGAAGTGGTTCGAGAGTACTTGGAAGATCTAAGAGAACTGACCTTTAAGCCATACCATACAAAATTTGCAAGCTGAAAAGCACGAGATTCTTGTAATAAGAGGTTTCTGGAGGTCTTAGGAAGCTTCGTTGTCACCACCTAAAGGGGTATTGCCAGAGGACAGTTTCTCCGACGTGTCAGCAGTCCAAGGCTGCAGCCCGCCAGAGGTTGGACACCAGAGGGAGCGACGATCGAAGAGAACGAGAGCGTGTTAGTAGCAGAACCGGAGAGCGATTGTGGCAAGATTCGAACTAGTGGAAGCTGAGCGACGAGACAGTACAGAGTATTTATTGAAGCTCGTACTGTTGAATACCGTTGATGGTGATGACGATGATGGCGGGACGCCGACCATAGATGGGAATCAGAAAATGATAGGCAGTCGACCTCTTTACGGAGCAGTCTTTGGACTCTTTAAGCTATGAGCCAGAGTCCCGACACTAACTACTCTCGTCCCAATTTTAGTTGGTCGCTGTCTAGAATGGTAGTAGTTAACAGTGAGCGTTGTTGATCTTGTTGTTCGTCATCCAACGGTCCAAGCCTCCAACAATCCAGCGCTTGGGTGTGGTTTCGGCGGGATTCCAATTTGGCCGATTATTATTAGTCAAGTCAGCTTGCAGCAGGTGATTCGCCTGTTCCGATTTAGGCCTTGTGGGGCCTTAGGCTCACCACCCACCAGCCAGTACTCCATAGTGAAAGATTCAAGATTAGGTTGTCTACCGCGTCATGAATTTCCAGAAAACAGTCACCTGCAAAGATGGTGGTGTCTTGAATAAGTGTTATTATTGTGGAAGCAAAGTATAATACAAGCATAATGCCTCAATGCTATTTTCTGGATCATTGTTTTAGTGTGCTTGATGCCTTGAAGCTTTCAACTGCTCCAGTTGGAGGATAATATGTTCTCCGCCTGAGAAAGACAGCTTTTGATCTAAGCAGAGGAAAAGGACGTTACCGGAAGGGGAAAAATATCACCACTTGCTTGCACTCATACGGGGTCCATCTCCCTTGGTTTGCCGCTGGTTACTACTACTTCGGGGTTCAGCATTTATTATGGCGTTCGTTCCTTCGGCATCTGCGTTCTCTTTGCCTCTTCCGTCATGGCAGCAACCTGCCAGCGTGCGGGTAGCTCGCTACGAGGCCAGAAAGCGCAAGAAACATTCAGATGACTGGGGCGACGACAATGGAGATGGCGAAGGAGAAACGACGGATGCTGCGTCGGAAATAGCGGCTACTGCTCCGTCGCTAACATTGTCTCCTGAAGAAGCCCATCAATATCGCGTTGCTGGCCTTTCATTCGACGAAGCATTACCAGGAGGCCTTTTCCCTCATGCCCCTGCTAAGAGCGACTCTACTAAGAAGGAGAACCGTGGGGATATCTTGAAAAGTCTCTCTTCCTTGTCTCCTCCGATATATCCTCCACAATCCAGTGCCTACCAGGGCAACCTTCGACTGCAACATTTGGCCGTCATCACTTCCATTCTGCACCGCTGCCTTTTGCAAGGTGACTACATCCGCGCCGGAAGAGCCTGGGGATTGATACTCCGCGAAGAATTTGCCGGTTCTCCCATCGATGTTCGCACTGACGGCAGATGGGGCATTGGCGCTGAGATCCTGCTTCGACGTGGCCGCCAGGTAGCAGAAAATGCACCAGGGGTTCAGCCGAAAGGTGACGGACACGAAAGCGGAGGAGGGCATATTTCAAGGCCATACTTTACACGGAAGGGGTTTGAAGATGCTAAGCACTATTACGAGAGGCTTATTGTACAACACCCGTACCGCAAATCCGCTCCCGATGCTATCAGTTCCTTGCACTTTTACCCGGCAATGTTTGGTCTGTGGGTATACGTTGTCCAAGAGGAGAGTAATTTAGCCAGAGAAGATATTCACAGTCACCATGAAGACTCGCCCGGAGAATTCTCGGAAGATGAAGAATTAGGGCAGGGCTTCGACGGCGAATCCGGATCTAAGCACAGAAAGCATCATCTTATCACAAGCGTACGAGCGCGTGAACTCGAAGAAGCACAGCAAATTGCGGCCAGGATGGATGAGATACTTGTCTCTCCCCCGTACTCGGATTCTCCTGAGCTGTTGGAGCTCAGGGGTATGGTATCGCTTTGGATTGGAGATCTCTTTGTGTCATGTGTCCCCCACCAAGAAGAGGACGAATACGATATTGACGATCGCAGTTCTGTGAAAGAGGATGCCGACCATCTACATGACTCTATTCAAGCCAGACGTGAGCGACGGCTTGCAATGGAAAAAAGACAGTCGGAAATTCTCAAATCAAGAGAATTCTTTGAAAAAGCAAGGCAACGTGGCAGAAGTGTTGCCTCGACATTGGAACACTTTCACATTGATGACAATGCTTCGATGGCTTCATCCGGTATGGGGTTCTAGAAGATCTCAGCTTACTTTGCGCTTGGTTCACAAATGGGAATGTGTTCTATGTAGATAGCTTAACAATTGTACATTACAGATAAACCTCATAAACACGCAAATACTGTCAAGACTCTCTACCTACCTAGCAAGCAACCTCGAAACTCTCCTCCTCTCTGCTGTCACCAGCTGCTTATCACCACGTGACTTCGTGAGTATCAGTCTGGCGCGCCGTGGAAATAACGCGTTTGGAATCTGCTCTTGGGCAGCCAGAATTTGAACATTGTCGCTGAGGATTGACAAACCCACCGCTCTCTACGCAGTTACTCGCGTATTTCACATCAATCTACTGCGGTGGACAGGCTGAGAGCTTAAGATCGAATGTCTATCTTCCGAAGCCTTTGAACCGAGTAACCATGGGGGTGGGAGACTACATCCATTCCAAGGAGGCTGGTCCACCTCGTCAATCCAAGGCTGATGCACCGAATCAGTCCCGGCAGCTCTTAGCGCAACAGGCGAGAGTGGACGTTCCCCAGACTCAACTTGTTGCTCCCGTGCCTGTAGGGATGAATGGAAGAGCACAATTGGATGCATACGGGGGAGTGACATTTCCAGCGCCGTCGCAGGCAGCGAATGAAAGTGGCATGCACCGGGACATGTTTGACACGGATGTTGAGGGGATCGATGACTCGACTGTTGCTGGAACAAGCGTGGTCGATATTGAAGAAACTCAACGACCGCAACAGCAGCAACATCACTTGCCGCCAGTGCAGAGTGTGCAGTATCAGGAGCCAGAAGGGAAGACTCTGCATCAATTCCGTCACGGACTTCGTCCATATTCATCGAACTGGTATGAGAACTTGGGAGACAAAGCCATGAAAACTGCAGGCTTTGAATCGGATGATGCCGATGCCGACGATGATACCAGCCAAATGACGTCCGTCGCGGGCGACGATAAAGCTGAAGATAATAACGACTGGTACATGTCTCATGGACACCGTCATGCAGAGGAACCTCTAAGCAAACGTCTAGAAGGCTTCTGGAGTGCCAGTAAACGAAAACATACTAACCCCGGCCACCAGACTCAGGGAGAATCGGCAAAGTTCTCTACTACGTTTTCATCAGCAAACGCAGGCAGAAGAATTGTCCTCCCTCGCAGTATGACAGCAACTCCGAGGACACGTTTCAGTCCGCCAAAGCCGTCCCTTCTTGACAAGCTGGACATCTCTCCAACTCGGCGCACCACCGGCCCAAGAGCACGACCTCAGAGAAATGACAGCATTACCCGATTCCACTCCCATGGCCCGGAGGGAGACACAGAGCTATTCACAAATGATCACGGAAAGGGGGACAGCGAGCCATCCTTAACTGCGTTCGACATTACCCATTTCGACGATCTTGATGACGACGAGACGATCCGCGATCCTTTCTCCAGACGTGCTTCGGTCAAGCGCATAAGCTCAGATACGACCCAGACGAAGAAGCGAAGCCTAGAAGCAGACTATCCTCCTGAAGTTCTGTCCAAGAAGACTCTTGAAGAACTCCAGGCTGAGCCGTTTGATTTCGATCCCGCCACTGCACGAGCCACCGCTACCTTGAACCCATCGCAGGATCCATCTGGAGCCACAGAAGAAGACCGAGTCTCTTTCCTCATGAAACTATCCAAAGAGGATCGCCAAACATACTTCTCGAATTTAAGGATTGATGAATGGGAAGAGTGCGGCGATCAGTTACTTGACGAATTCTCCAAGCTACTTTCGGAAATGAAGGAACTGCGCCGCGCTCGTCGAAGGACGGCTGCTATGTTCGAAGCGGAGATAAAGAGAAGACATGATGCTGTTAAGGAGGAAAGTTCCGATTTAGAAAAGAAGCTGAATGAAATGAAGACGGGCGGTGCAGAGGTGTTGCGTGGTCGTACCCCCTGAAGCGCATATCTTCACAGAGCAACGCAGCAATACTATCAACCCTGGTGGTTGAAAAGTGCTTCATAATGAGGCCGGCTGCTACTACTCTTATTTCTCTTTATTTAACATAGTTTGACGCCTCTGAGAATGGCCATATCACGTCACCATATGCTGCTGCAAGCAGCCATGAGGAAGTACATCATGCTGAAGATCATGTCTGTGTTTTCCATCATACGAGATCTACTCGAGACGGGTTACTGGGGTTCGGCTTCATACTTTAGAAGGCATATGTTAATGGCATCATTATACCCTTGTGCAATTGAATTATTGACTGATGAATATGTTTTCCTTTCCTATCAGCACTTCGAATTGCGTCAAAATTGTGCTCGCTAACTCCAGATAATGCTACCATCCTTGAAATGACTCTAGACTTATGTTTCCACCGCCTGAAATGAACGCCATCTGCAATCTATCATATAGTGTCATGAACGCCGTGAGATCAAACAAACAATGCGAGAAAGACATAGGGATGCGGGAAAGTGGTAAAGGAACAAGCATGAGTTAACTCGAGTCCGAAGCCTGCCTGAATAACGCTGCTGCAAGACGTTTGTAGTCTTCGAGCAACACGGATACATCGCCTATTGTCAGTTCGTTGGCATGTTGGGTTTGGAGAAATCTTTGAATAGGCGGATCGATCTTAGGCTGGTTACCGCTGTTATTCCTGGGGACCTCTCGAGAAGAAGGTGAAGCCTTCGTCTTCTCTGAAGGAGAAAGAGTGGCGAAACTTCCTGCCGAGTCCGGCGTGCTGCGCCCGAAGTTCCTTATCATCCCTGGAATATGATTAAGCGGATTGATGCTGTTTCCGAAGTTCCTCATTGACTCTAGAGGGGTGGTAGGCAAAGGGTTCGTTTGAGAGGCAACTGACGAAGGCTCATCCTTTAGCGCACTCGTGGTGGCAGTGGCCATTTTCGAGCTGGCCTGCGTCCTCACACTGTCCGTGCTACGATCACGGGGGTCCTGTGTCCACTGACTAGGCCCATGAAGGTATCTTCCGCCCTTGAGCCGATTCGCCGCAGTGGGGGTCGATCAGGAGTCGCTAAAGAATCGCCCACTGCATTATCCCGAGAGACACCCTTATCAAGAGAAGGCGGAGAAGTGACCAGACGACGGGCTTCTGCTAACGTCTTCGGCAAGATTGTATTGCTACCATCTTTGGCGGACAGTTGGCTGGATTGCAGCTCCTTGAGACGGCCGAACAGAAAGTTGAAGCTGCTGTCCAGCGATGCGCTAATATTCTTCAACCCTTGATCGGCAGTGCTGCGAACAGCATCGTTGGCAGCACCAAGCACTTTCGACGGGGGTTGGAACAAATTGTTTAGACGAGGTTGTTGAGGCGCCGCGGGTGGCTGTTGCTTAAGTAGTCTTTCGGCAGCATCTTCCTTAGCATCTGATTTGGAGATCCCTGGAGAAGCGTTCGCTTTTGTAACGGTAGACACGGGGGCCTTGCTCATTCGCTGAGAGGTGTCAAGGCTGTCAGAAGTACCTGTCGTCTCATTGTTCAGTTGTACCTTTCCTTCCTGCGTTTCGTCCGCTCGTAACTCCGATAGTTCTACATTTTCCAGGAAGCTGATTGCAGCTTCAAGATTTGTTAAGCAGTAAGCCGTCTCACCATCGATTTTGTTTGACGACCGGAACCGCTGTATGAAGAGAAGATTACTAATGATGTTGATACCGTCTGGCGGGCAAGTGATAAGCGTATAGATCAAGGTGGGTAGGATCTCATCAGCCGAGGAGGAGGAAGGAAGAAGCTTTGTCAATGCATCAACGATAGCCTTGTGTGCGCCAGCCAGATGCTGAAGCTTCCCCAAAGGATATTTCGCTTCGTTCATTCTTGCCAGACATTCACGGGCAACGGAGAGGCACTGATCCGCCTCTTTCTGATCCTCTTCATTGATAGTGGCCATGTCGATGTCAATTCCTAGGTCCTTCAGATTTATCCCAACCAAGAGTAACGCTGCTGTTTTCGAACGCAACTTGTCATCCCGAACTTCATCCAATGTGCTCTTATGCCTCCAGATTTTGTCGTAGACGCATTCACAGGCTCTTCGCTCGATAGCTTCTTCCAGAGCAGCACCTTTAGAGGCGAGCGACTTTCGAGCCTTCCGCCGTTCAGCAACCTCTGATGCTGTCAACATCTGCCGGCTAGACGGAACATTGCCTGAATCCCTGTTTGTTGATTTAGACTGGCCGAGGCCCGAGAAGCACGGGGCGGGGGAGGGTTAGGAGAAGGATCGCGGTTTATTCGAGTCGCCAGGGCTGATATATGAGTAGCAATGTGTGATTCAGCACGAACGTAAAAGTCTTGAAAGCGCTGAGATATCTTCTCGATGGTCGGCGGAGAGGAGTGTACCTTGGCGCCCAACGAGTTAACGAACCTAGCAAAAAAACAGTATGTTAATGCTTGAGCAACTTTGAATAGAGTAGTCTGATCTACCGGTCAGTTAGGCTCATTAGTTCAATTGGTAGCTCTTCAGGTTGATCCTGCAGGCCCGAGACAGAACAGAGACCTCTTCGCCCTGTTGCCCATCATCTCCTGCTTCCGATTCCGAAGAACCCCTCTTGTCAAACAGGTCTGGACCATTATCTTGTTCATCGTCCTCTACTGACAATGGAAGGGGGAGGGCGGTCGAGTCCACCAACTCTGGAATTGCTACCGATTGAACAGTCTTCGCCCTGGTGCGGGCAAAGGAGCTCAATTCCGGGTTGTCCATTCGCGGGAATGATCGAGCAGTATGGAGACGAGGCTTCGCAGCGTCATTGACCGAAGAATGCGATGACATGGCTCTTGAAAGCATGCACCCTGCGCTTTTTATTATTGAAAGCTATTATTTCCCTCGCAGTCCAGCTGATCGGCTCACGCAGACCGGGCAATACCTGCGTCTCCGCGCGACAAAATGGGTCAGCGGGTAATCAGGACAGATTTCGAGATACAACAGAAGAACAAAAAACAAAGAACTGAGATGAGGAACAAGACAGCAAACAACTGAAGGTATCAACTAGTACCAACAGACATATTAAAAAGCCAGTAAACCCTTCAACAGTGACAGAGATGTAGTAGAGTGTATGTAGCTTAGAGAGGCAGATGATTACCACTTTGGGGAGTCCCCACAACTGGTGTCACGCGTTTCTAATCTATCACGTGCGCTATCATTCTGGCTATCTGCGGACTGCGTCACTGCCCCAGCGATCAGTCATCGCCGCCGATAGACCATCTGTACGACGGTGATTGCTTCCTCGAGTCATCCCCAAGATTCCCTTGGATATCGATTTTCGTCATGAAAAGCAGCCGGAAAAGGAATAAGCGACACGTTCTGCAAGATATGAGTATATCGGGTCTTCTCTTATCTGTTGCCCTGCTTCCGAGCGTCGTCTCCGCTCACGATCATGTATACTTCGACCCTTCATCGTCCGGTTCACCCTTCCTTGGCCCCCAGATCCCTTTAACAGGCCCTCCAGCCCTTACGGGTACTCATGAATTTGTAGGTCTTATACCCTGATATCTTTAGATGCAAACACTGATTGTTCTGATTAAATAGACGCTTCGCCACATATATGAGCGAGGTACTCATGACCAACCCGATCTTCACAGGAGGCTCGATATAAAACCGGACACACGCCTTTGGGCCGTTTCAGATGATGGTCTTGAAAAGGAACTCGTCACATTTGATACACCCCTCGTTGCTTCGTCAAGCCCTCTTACCATCCAGCGGCTTGCGGACCGCCGGCTTTCGGTCATTGAAGGATACCTGGCGGCTGCGAGGTCAGGTGGGGAGGCGGTCGCACTGTCGCCGTCAGAGTGGGTGATGGATACATTGGCTGGACCAAATGTCACAGATAAAGAAAGCGTTCTCACATTTGCAAAGATGACGGCGAACGACTATATTGAGGAACCTGGCACCGAGGACTGGCACTATATTCACGGCCGTTTCAACTATTCGTCAAGCTTTGGGTGGCAGTCGGACGGATTGAGGGCCATATATATGCAGATAAAACGAACAGCACTATCGTCATATCCTTGAAAGGAACTTCCCCGGCCCTGTTCGATGGTGCCGGCACAACCACAAACGATAAGGTCAACGATAATCTGTTCTTTAGCTGTTGCTGTGGGCAGGGAGGCTCATACCTCTGGCGACAGGTCTGTGACTGTCAGCAATCAGCATTTACAGCCAACTTGACTTGTATCGTTGAGGCCATGAACGACGAAAATAGATATTACAGGGCCGCCATCGACCTCTACTCGAATGTGACAGACATGTATCCAGACGCAAATGTCTGGTTGACAGGCCATTCTCTGGGTGGTGCGATGTCCAGTCTCCTTGGCCTTACATTTGGACTACCTGTCGTAACATTCGAGGCTGTCCCTGAAGCCCTGCCTGCGGCTCGGTTGGGTCTACCAAGTCCGCCGGGTCACGATCCCAGGCTTCCTCAGTCGCGACAATACTCTGGAGCTTACCATTTTGGACACACAGCCGACCCAGTATATATGGGAACGTGCAACGGCGTTGGTTCTATTTGCACATGGGGTGGGTATGCGATGGAGTCCGCTTGCCATACGGGCCAAATGTGCGTTTACGATACCGTTGAAGATAAGGGATGGCGTGTTGCACTTTCAACCCACCGTATCAGGGCCGTGATCTCCGACGTCCTCGAGGTATATGAAGACCTTCCTCCTTGCGCACCTGAGGAGGAGTGCTATGATTGCGAGTTGTGGAAGTTCTTCAAAAGCAATGGGTCTGAAAGCACGACAACTTCGACTACTACGACTACCACCGCTCCTACCACAACCCGGACGTCGACATGCAAGACACCCGGCTGGTGGGGCTGTTTGGACGAAAGCACGACCACTACGACCACCACTTCTACGACCACGACCACGACTACGTCCACGTCAACATGTAAAACCCCAGGGTGGTTCGGCTGCAAAGATCCGACTACAACGACAGAGGCAACTCCCGCCCCATCTGTCACAACCACCATACCCACGCCAACTACATATCCAATTTCATCTACCTCCACATGCGAAGATCCTGGATGGTTCGGTTGTCGCGATCCCACCAGCACGACAGCGTCCATCACATCGTCACCTTTGACAACATCCACCTGCGATGATCCGGGTTTCTTCTGGGGTTGCTATGACGAGTCAACCACGGCAACTCATCCCATCACGTCCGGGCCGAGCGCGCCATACTCGACTCCGTCCCCTACTAACACACACACATGTACTTCCAGTATTTTCTTCGGTTTGATCTGTGTTGGGTCGACCGGCACCGAACTACGCTAGACTTCACCCCACCATCAACGCTCAATAAGGGGGTAGTTGTGAATCATTCATCCTACCCACCATTTGCATAAACTTTCATGACGATCATATACGAGCGACCGATTTTGACATGATTCTTTGGTTCTCTTTTGGCGCGGTGTCTTCAAGGCGTTCTGGGTTAGTGATTCACCTGATCATTAGTTTTTGGAACTGGTCAGGCTTACTGGTGACATTGATCATCTTGCCGTCAATGTGAGCTGTTCTTTTTTCAGAAACTATCCTCTCGTTGAGAAATTGGGAGTTTAGATACCGATACTTTGTTGGGATACACTTGGGTTAATTTATCAGTAGATGTGGTTTCCACTATGATTTTTGAATAGAGTCCATATAAAGCTATTCCTTCCCTTTTTCTCTAACCCCGGTGGAAATGCCAAATGACACGGCATAGATTCGATTACAACTATAAACAGCTATCTACCAGCTGTACTTGCTGGTTGCTACTAAATTGAGGCACACCGTAAAACAGGCGGCGATGTTTGTGGTTCCTAGTAGCAGTAATCAGGTAACATGTCTCAACAGGCTTAATTTTGAATTTGAGCAAGAGATGCGCGCTATTGGGCTGACAACAAGATGATAGGTCTAATGTCTATAACGAATCGACAATGGTAGTAGTAAACGAGCTCGTCTGGTGGTCAGCAAGAAACCTACCTTGACCGGGCCAGTCAATGTCCAAGATACAGTGAATAGAGCCGATTCGACTTCGAGTACAAAGACCAGCTACTGACAGTGTCCAGACTACCCGAGGTATTACACGATAAATGGGAACATACACGAAGCGGCTATCCAGCATGCTTACATCTCGGGTAGCGATTCCGTACTTGAAGCCGGTAAGAGGTCTTGGAGTGAGATTTATATCAGTCAAATACACCAGAAGACCACGCCCAGGCCCTACTGAGAGAACGATTGGCTGACGACACCTTCGACACCCTTGAAATTGACTTTCTTTGCCATGTGGCGTCGCTATCAAACGCCGTGGTTGGTAAGGCAGGGATTGATTGCAGTCATTGTTATTGGTGCGGAACAGAGGGACATAATAATTACTTTCGGGAATGTATCGATCGGCTTTGACAACGATTTAATCCCAGTCTGATGTTGGAGAGGCCGATGGAGTCAAGCGAGGTTAAGTTCGGCGTGAGCTAGACGTTGGATTTCAGCCTTCCAGGTCAGCCCCAGACAACTCTCGATAGGTAGATGTACATCGATTTGATGGAGAGTTTGCGGGGGTGCATTAGCATATCCCTTACATGTGGTTTTCCCCAGAAATTGGAAGAGACGATCCGTCGTCTGCAGATGTTGAACGTGGTTTGATAATCAGCGGGCATACAAAAGTCACTACGGATTCCGGTTTCCGACGCTCAGAAACCGATAGGCCTCGTTTTCTACGTTCTGAAGCACGATTCTTGGGTTTTTTTGATGCTGGCCATTCGCAAGACCCGCTGAAGAAAGCATATTCGCAATCTCGAGCCCTGATTCGGTCGTTGATGCGTTGGAAAGTCGCTGTTGGTGATCCTGAAGGCGCATTCCTGACCTCCGCAGATCGACTGTCAGAATGCGGGACACGTCGAGTGACTAGATCATTTCCCCACGCTAGATCTGTGGAGTCTGGGGTTAGGAATAATCTAATTTATGGTTTCAGATGCTAGTCAGAAGATGAGAAGATGAAAGACCTCGTTGTCACTGCCCTGGGTGACTGATGCGCTGTGCTGGTGATGGCACTCGGTCGGGAGAAGGGGCGGGATAGCGACAATAAAGACCACCGCAAATTCTGCGCCTATAGAACAGCGACATGGAAGAAACAAGCTTAGAGCCCTAAGCCATTCTCGAAGCCAGAAGCCAGAAGCCTCCAGCCCAACAGCCATAGCTAATGCAATCCTATTCTCCTAGAAGGTTCGAGCGAATCCCATCACCACGCTCAACTACACTAACCGGCTAAGGTAGCAGTAGCCGCTCCAGAAACAAAAATTCAAACTCTTCCTCTTCCCTCTCCTTTCCCCGCAAAGAAAAAGCCTCGTGTCATGACCTGGCCAATATCCATTGATCCAATCCTTTGGCCTGAAATTCTATTTGCTTCTAGTCCTAACTGAGAGAAAACGGCAGAATTCCCAGACTTTTTTTTCTCTCTTTCTCTAGACTCTAGAAAGGTACTAGCTACTAATCACAAGATCACGATCCTACCCTCCATACCCTCAAACCGGTTCCTGAGCGTGAGGGTGGGGGCGCTCCTGTCCTTCTCCCCCGAGGCCTTAAATTCAGCGATTGTCCCTGGTTTTTTCTCGCTTCTCTATTCTCCATTCTCACTACATGTTACCTTGACACGGAACACTCATTCTCTGGTCATTCTAGACCGTGTGGTCCCATTGTACAAATCATTCACAACTCCCTTCTACACCCCTCGGTTCGGCTGAAGGTCGTCAGTTGCACTCGCATGATGGCTTCCGAAAAGGCGCAGGATGCCATTGGGCCAGCGGGGGAGTACGATCCTCGCCGTGATTCCACAGGGTCTGCGGCCAAGATCATCCACAATGCCAGAGCGGCGACGGAGAAGGAACATCGCATGTCGCTCTGGGAAGGCATCAAGACCTACCCCAAAGCCGTTGGGTGGAGCTTGCTGATCTCCACCTGTATTGCCATGGAGGGCTACGATATCAGTCTCGTCAACAATTTCTATGCCTTCCCACAGTTCAATCGCAAATACGGTGAGCTCACCGCAGACGGGTCATATCAAGTGCCGGCTCGGGTAAGTTCTCTGCTCACCTAACCCCCTTTCTGCGATATGTGTGCTGAGACGTCGTTGTATAGTGGCAAGCAGGTCTTAGCAACGGCGCCGCGGTTGGAGAAATCATCGGTCTCTTCCTCAATGGTTGGGCTTCAGAACGTTTCGGATACCGCTACACTCTCATTACCTGTCTCATCTTGATCACCGCTTTCACCGCCATCTTCTTCACTGCTCCGAACGTTCAAGCTCTACTTGCGGCCGAAATCCTCGCTGGTGTTCCGTGGGGTGTGTTCCAGACTCTCACAATCACGTATGCCTCGGAAGTCTGCCCAGTGGCTTTGCGTGGTTACCTGACCACCTACGTCAACTTCTGCTGGGGCCTTGGACAATTGATTGGTATTGGAGTGATCAGATCAATGATCAATCGTAATGATGAGTGGGCGTACCGCATTCCCTATGGCCTGCAGTGGATGTGGCCTGCGCCGTTGCTTCTTGGCATCCTCCTGGCCCCGGAATCCCCATGGTGGCTTGTGCGCAAGGGCAGGACCCAGGAGGCTAAGAAGGCATTGTTGCGATTGACCACTGTGCAGGAAGACTTCGACGCTGACGAGACCATTGCCATGATGGTTCATACGACTGCACTGGAAGAGAAGATCACCCAGGGCACCAGCTACCTCGACTGTTTCAAGGGCACTGACCTGCGCCGAACGGAGATTGTCTGCATGGTATGGGCTATGCAGAACTTGAGCGGCAACTCCTTCTCGAATTACTCGACCTACTTCCTCGAACAGGCCGGCTTGGACGCGTCCAAGGCCTACTCTTTTGCTATGGGCCAGTACGGCATCAACATGGCGGGAGTCTTCGGCGCATGGTTTCTCATGACACTGGGCGTTGGACGCAGAACGCTGTACCTGTGCGGTCTCTGCGGTCTCTGTGTCATGCTCCTCGTCATGGGCTTCCTCGGTCTGGTACCAGAGGCGCACCGGGACCAGGCATCTCTCGCCACGGGCTCTATGATGATTTGCTGGGCGCTGGTCTACCAGCTGACGGTGGGAACGGTGGCCTACTCTCTCGTTGCCGAGATGTCCACCCGCCGCCTGCAGATCAAGACCGTCGTCCTTGGCCGCAACCTGTACAACGTCGTGGGTATCATCTGCGGTGTCTTCACGCCGTACATGCTCAATCCCGGAGCTTGGGACTGGGGTAACTACACTGGCTTCTTCTGGGGAGGAATCTGCTTCCTCTGCATCATCTACACTTACTTCCGTGTTCCTGAGCCCAGAGGCCGGTCGTTCGCCGAGCTGGACCTTTTGTTCGAGCGTAAGGTCAGCGCAAGAAAGTTCTCCAGCACGCAGGTCGATGTCTTCGATGAGACCGTCGAGAGCCAGGTGGTGAGCGATTACCATGCCCAACAGATGGCCGGGCTCGGTGTGACCCCATTGGAGAAGCAACCGGGGGGATAACGCTTGTTGTATGATTGATGAATTGAGGTGCCTCGGCCCTTTTGGAGATATGAGCCCGGCTGAGATCCGGACATGATGTACTGTACATAATCTTATTCACGCAATATAATTGACGCTTCTAACGCCACGTGCCGGTCCATATTATATATGATGTCAAGCGCATATGCTGTTCCTGCCTTAATAGCCAGTAAATATGAATATTACTGCAGATCTTCTTCCTCAATCAGCTTGCTAAATGTCTAGGCCCATGTATATGCAATTTCTACTCATGAGACCACTCGGGCTTCTTTTTCTCGGCAAACGCGGTCATTCCTATGCATAGTCAGTCAAACCAACCTCACCCAGCAACGCAATCGCAAAAAAAAAAAAAAAAAAAAAAAAAAAGAAAGAAACTTACCAATCTTCTGATCCTTGCTTCCAAACAAGCCATGGAACAACCGCCTCTCATACTCCACGCCCTCCCTGAGCGAAAGCTCCTGGCTCTTATTCACCACCTCCTTGGCAGCCAGCACACTTACCCGACTATATCCCGCAATCGTCTCCGCAGTCTTAAGAGCCTCAGCCAGTAGCTCCTCCTGCCCGCCCTCAACAGCCTTGGCCGCAACACCCCACTGCTCCGCCTCCTTGCCGCTGAAGTTCTTCCCCGTCAGGATCAGCTCCATCGCCTTGCTCTTGCCGACGGCGTGGGTGAGACGCTGCGAGCCGCCCGCGCCGGGGATCACGCCGAGCTTGATCTCGGGCTGCCCGAAGGTGGCGCTGGCGGTGCAGTAGATGATGTCGCACATGAGGGCGAGCTCGCAGCCGCCGCCGAGGGCGTAGCCGGAGACGGCGGCGATGACGGGCTTGCGGACGGAGTTGGCGAGGTGCGACCACGGGGCGATGAAATTGTTGGTGTAGGCGCTTGAGAAGGTCAGCGGGGCCATTTCCTTGATGTCGGCGCCGGCTGGACGGTATCAGCTTGGTGCATGTGCTAGAGCAATAATGTTTGCATAGCTTACCGGCAAAGGCCTTTTCGCTGCCTGTGATGACGACGGCCCCGATATCTTTATCTTCCTCGTATTTTGATAGCGCTGCATTGAGTTCCTTGAAGAGGGGGCTGGAGAGGGCGTTGAGTGCCTTGGGGCGGTTGAGGGTGACTGCGGAGTGTTAGACAGCTGTCAATGGACCCAACTAGCTTGAATATGATCGGGGAAAGAAAGGACATACTCAGTCCAACACCAGGCTTAGGAGTCGACGTGAGGATGTATTCGTACATCGGAGCAGCGGATGAGTAGGGCCTGGCAACACGGCTAAGGTAGGATGTAAGAGGGATAGCACTCGTGGACGAGACCAGGCGGGAACATTGCCGAGAGAACATGGCGAAGGGGATCTGATGAAGGTGAGATTAGGTAATGTTGCGTATTGGAGGGTTGTTGGAGTGAGCTGTAGATTAATTGATGCGCAGTCTAACAGTACTTAAGTGCCAGCTCCTAGATACTACTTCTCCGTACTTATGATGCTACACCCCCGGTTATCTCCCCGCAATCGCCGAAGGGAACCGTTGCTCCGAGGCAATGCGGAGCACGTGAACTGGACCTGGTAACATAAGCTGGATCTAACCTTTGTAGGACTAGCGCATGTTGTATCATCTCCCCTGAGGCGCAGCAGCTGTCGATGTGGCTTGTTATACCGAAACAGGTTAGTGTCCGACCACGCCGCCCAAGCTGAGCAGTGGACACTTTTTCTCTGCAGACGGACAGACTGCAAGACGGAGAGCGAGAGATAGCAACTTTGTTCCGCCCCTCCAGCTTCGTCGGTGTTGGTGGGAATTATCCTCTTGTTTCTTGCTCACGGCACATCTTCCTTGACCTGCAAGTATCCCCTCGCATTGGTGATAGTCCACGACTTTTCTTAATCCTTTTATTCCTTTCCCTTATCCTGTCGCTATGGATGTCCCCGAGCCAGAACAGACGCCGTTCACGGCCGTGACAGCGCAGACCTCAAAGCTTGCGCGGGTAAGTCAACTCCATTCACCATGGATCGGTCTGCAAAGATCAATTCATCTCGTTTCTTAAAAAGCTTTCGGCTGATGATTCCGATGACAGCAATACCAAACATCTCTCGATGCTCTGACACCGTACACAACCTACCGGTGGATCGGCACCGTCGTCCTCCTCCTTATCTTCTTCCTGAGAATCGTCCTCGCTCAGGGATGGTACATCGGTATGCGACTGTCCCTGTCTTTTTTTTTCGCTTTTTGCAACTTACTAACATCCCTACCCATGCTCACAGTCGCATACACCCTCGGCATCTACCTCCTGAACCTCTTCCTGCTCTTCCTGCAACCCAAATTCGACCCCTCCCTCACCCAAGACGAAGGCATCGAGGACGGTGACGCCTCCGCCAGCCTCCCCACCAAGCAGGACGACGAGTTCCGCCCCTTCATTCGCCGCCTCCCGGAGTTCAAGTTCTGGCACTCCGCTACCCGGGCCATCGCCATCGGCTTCGTCTGCTCGTGGTTCTCCGTCTTCGACATCCCGGTCTTCTGGCCCGTCCTGGTGGTCTACTGGATCATCCTGTTCGTCCTGACGAGTAAGTTCACTTGCATTATAAGGTAGCCTCGTGCGCTTGTGCTTACGAGATTTCTGAAATAGTGCGCCGACAGATCCAGCATATGATCAAGTACCGCTACGTGCCTTTCTCCTTCGGAAAGACCAGATACGGCCGCTCATAAGTGTCACGAACCCCATGGGGGCGGGGGTTGTGTATACTGCTGCTGCGAACTGCATGCAGCATCTGCTCCTAGGCCGTCCTGTGAAACGGATACACTTTCTATCCTTGGGGACAGCGAGTTGGGACGCGCTCGGAAAGACGAAACTCCAATATTGATGTTGATTGATGATGACCCCTGTGTGATCTGAATTAATGAGCCGACTCCTTTTCTTATTGTACAGAGCTTCCAAGTCCACAATGCTCGAATCTTGTCACTTTCTTCCTATTCCTTTTTCAACTATACTCATTGTATTGATTAGACAGTTGTGTATCTTCTACGTACCATCGAAACCAATCTGATGACAAGACCTCACGTACAGATGAAATTAACATTAGGAAGCTGGTACGATATGGAAAATAATTGGCCCGGCCAATAGAGCTTTTGCATGAAGAACTAAGTAGCCACTCTAGCAACGCAAATGGATATATAACACCTGATTTATCATGAAAATCATCCCTTGCCAGACACTAAGAACGAAAGAATCAACATGCTATTCATCTCATTAAAATCCAATGGAAAGAGAAAAAAGGAAACGCATCACTCATATCTCAAGGTGCTCCACACTATGAGACCGCTTGCTGCTGCCATCACCCAAAGACAAGGCCGATATCGTCCGGCCGGCAGTTGGGCGTTCCAGCTCCTTGGTCTTGGTACAGATCCACGTCGACGCGTACATGTTCACACTATGGTATGTCAGCGATTGTATCACTAATGGTCAGGGGAGACGAGAACTTACCGGTCGATGCAAGAGCCAGGGAAGCGGGCGCCGACCCGACGGGCTGTGAACCCGTTCTCTTCGAATTGCTTGATATACCAAGGCTCGATGCTGGCAGAGCGGAGGAGAATACGGCCGTCCATTTTCAGGGCGTGGTTGAGTTTCTGGGCTTGGATCGATGCTTCTGTGCCTTCGGGATCGAACCAGTCCATCGAGTCCATGATCTGGAAAGTGGGTTAGATCGGTTATCTTGGGAAATCACAACGGGCGGTGCTTACCACAGCGATTGTCAGGCTTCGAGGCGTGATCCGCTTGATCACTTCGTTTATCTCATCTGTGTGAATACGTAGGCCGTCAAATGCACCGGGCAAAGAGAGCTTCACATGTGCCTTGGGAGACAAGTATGCGGGGTGGCATCTGGGATACAGTTAGATCGGCTCGCTCCGAACCACCGCTGGGCAAATCTCACCTTCTCGAAAACTGCCCCTGGAGACACAAGAAATAAAAGTAGTTGTCGTTGCTGATCATTGTTTCGTTGATGACGGGGTCCAGTGTGTCGACAACATATTGCCAGATCGACCGGCCACTGATATCCTTGCCTTGGTTCATGTCCTTGGTCAGGCCCAGTCTCTTGAAGTAGTCGTCAACTATCATGTTCCGCTGGTTTCGAGGCACGCCCGCGGCCTTCCACGCGAACCATTCGGTGCTGACAACCGCCCAGTGAAGGGGCTTGCTCATGAGTACGGCGCGAATCTTTGGCCAGATCTCACGCTGCTCAGCAAGAGTTTGCGCCTCGCAGAGCTTCTTCACCTGACCCTCAAGGCCGAAAACCTTGAACAGGTACCGAACCATCTTAATGGCGTGTCGGGAGCCACCGGTCTCATAAAGACCTTGGCCATATTTGGAAGTGAAAATATGAGTGTGTTCAAGCCAGTATTGGAATGCCTGGCTGGAGAGGTGAGGGCTGAGACGCGAAATAAGAAGTTCCCGGAATTCGGGGTGTTTGCCCTCGCCAAAGATTTTCCAGACATCGCGATGACCGAGAGCCATGAAACTAGCAACCTTGAGTTCAAGCAGATGGTTCTGGTTAGGGTTCAGGTCGACGGCATGGACTCTGCGTGGACTCTTCTGAAGGTAATCCAAGATATTGTCTCCTGCGCTGGTAATAGCCAAGATAACATCATCCCGCTTGATGTCCAGGAGGCGGTGATCAACGCGAGGGTCTTCCCAGTTGAACGCATAAATGTACTCGTTCTTGAACTGCGTGTGCTTGGGCAGCAGATCATTGTAGAAGATGCGGCAGTGGTGGTTCTGGTAGAATGATGAGGGAAGAGGGAGGTTCGCGCTCAGATTGATAACGGCCGACTCGTAGGCTTTCGAACGAACTTCTTGAGCGTTCCTCTCCATTGCTTTCTCCATCTCCTTGGTGTGATTGGCGGGAGAAAGGTAAGGCGATTCAGTAAAGGAGGCGTCCAGCTTTTCGATAGTCTCCTGACCGGAGAGATTTGATGTAAGATCCTTGTGACGTCCAACGAAGATGTAGTAAGGAATGCCGCCGAGAAGATAATTGCGCTCGCTGGCAGAGATGACGGTTCCAAAGCGGTATTCGAGATAATCTCTGCGAGCCGCTTCCAGACTGACACGGTCCGCATCGAACCAGGCCCGCCAGAAGGCACGACCCAACCAGTTAACGTGACGATTGAAAGCACCACCAATGTAGTTGCGGGCAGAAACGTCCACGATACTTTGGACTATTCCAATGAATTAGTCTCCGTTAAGTCAGAAGGCTGTACGCTGCTTACCATAAAAGTCGCAGACACCAACGATACCAGACGCCCTCAAGAGGTCGGTCAAGGAGTCGACGACACTGTAGTAGTCTGTATTCAATTAGTACCGCGGCCTCAATGCTTGTTATTCCAAAGACTAACCAGGAATCATGGACAGGCTGTAGCTCATGGTGATAAGATCTGCGCCTGCAGTTGATGGGGCTGGGGCACGGGGTCGACTGTCTCTTGGGGGAGACGGAAAGAGCGTGCATCTTGGCAGACGACGGTGACATTCTTCCAGCCTAGGCGCTCGAATCGCTGACGGGCAACCTCGCAAAGAGAGGGAGACAGGTCGACAAGGTAGACGTGCGAGAAGAATTGGGTAACGGGTAGGAAAGCAGCCATGGCCTCAATGTTGTAGCTAGCTTACGGTTAGGCCTCGAGAGCAAGATGACTCGATTTGACACTTACCCAGTGCCTCCGCCAATCTAAGCAGCAAGTGTCAGTGTTTGCGAACAATAAGCGATACTGAGGTGCCTTACATCAACCCAGATTGCCTTTCCAGCCTGGAGCTCTTTGTTCTCAACTTTGTACTTCAATTGCGCGGCAGCAAGCCCCAACATATCCTCGCGGCCACAGAGAAGACGCTTGCGAGTGGTATCATATACACCAGCCTAGCATATATATCAGTAAGCGCTTCCAGATACATCGCATTCGAAGGCTCATACCTGAGTCTTGTAGAAGCTTTCTAGCGCATCTTGCTGGCCATTGAGACCTTTCTTGTGGGGCTTAAGGAATGATGCGTAGATGAATCTGAGGTAGGTGAAGATACCGCGATTGTAATCAAACTTCTTGTGCTGGGATGCCAGCATGAGAACCACACCGACAAGTGCGCAAACTAAGAAGCCGGCACCTGCAATGTACGCGTGTATAGGCTCCATGCGGCTCAGAAATGAACCAGCAGGAGTGCTGCTGAAGGAGCTCATGGCGAAAAAGCGAAGGAGGGCTCAAGGTATCAATCCCCTACGTGAGACTGAAAGGAACTGGAGTTGACTGAAAGCAACCTCAAGGAAGGGGGGGCACTGGAGAGGAAGGGCGCGTTCTTGAATCAACAGCGCAACCATCAATTCGGGACAAGGGCAATTGAATGCATCATAAGGATGCCCCACCATGACCCCTCGGTCGTAAACGTTGGCTCCCAATATCGGAGCAGCATGGGTCTCCATATCCTATCAGGACCACACATGGTCCTGACTGCCGAGGGGAGTGATAAGATGCTAAGGTCCATCAGAGCAATGTGGCATCGCCAGTAGCGGGAAGGTTGTGGAAAGTGGTTCAATTTGGAGACTTGGGCCAGAAGATAGTCAAACGCGGCTCGATGGGGCAACTGATAGGCCGTAGAGTACAGGTAGTCTTCAACGTCCACAGGACGCTATTGGATGATTGTAACGGGGATCTGCTGGAGTACGCTGCAGCACAGAATTGGGAAAAGGTACGTAGGTACCCGGACGATGTAGGAGCAGCTAGAGGCATCAAGGCCCTGGCAAGTAAAAAAGCAGAGTGGCAGCATGTGCAGGAAAGCGGTGGACGTGGAGCCTCGTTCCGCTCAAGGTTCGCAAATAATCGCAGTCGACCGAGTGCCCGTGGGGAGAGTAGCTGATCATATCAGCGATCACAATGAAGGTTAATGGTTGTCTGGGCTGCTTCAATGTATGAGACCTGCTGAGCCAATCACAGCGCGGTCCGCCAGCACATTTCAGCATCAGGGACTCCGTAAGGTCCAGTTGATCGTCCCTTGTGCATCCATGGATCGATATCGGACGGTCGCATTGACGATTATTCACAATGATCCGCCACTGTTGGAGTCAAGAGACATTAATTGAATCTCGACGAGGGATTGCAATCTGCTCAATGAAACGTTGAGGAGGTGCATGTGGGAATATTGGAAAGGTGGAGGTTTGATGGGAACCAACAGCAGACAACAATTCGGGCATAGCGGCATTTCACTCTACTGCCATCGTAGGAGGACCAGAATACTATGCGATGACCATAATAATAATAAGCATTACCCATAAGGAGTATTCATCTCTCCAGATCATGGCTCTCTAGATTGAGTTGTCCTATAAACATGTTTCGATTGACAATGCATCAAGAGGTATCAGACAAACAGTCATCTAGTACATCTTGCGAGCCCTAAATCCTCAGAGGCGTATATAGCTAGTTGACTACGTTGACCTAGAGTTAGGACCCTCTAACAATCCTTGACCTCCAGTTTGCTTGGGCTAGCAGACGCTTTGCTCGGTCCTTGACTAGCACCGTCATTCAGGGATTTTCAAGACAGCTCGTCCGTCGATTTCAGCCCTCTCCAGTCTTTGTAGGACGTCATTGATACCGGAGAAGTCAAAGCACTCAATGTGAGCTTTCACGTCTCCTGCCACAGCCATACTTAGTAGCTCTTCCATCTCCTTTGCGGTACCAGCGGAATTTCCGACAATGGTGAGACCTATTGAACAAGAGACTTAAGCACTGTCCCAAATCGAATGAGCTGGACTTCACCTGGGGCGCTCCATACCTTTCACAATCATGTCGAACGGGGTTGATGGTAGTCTAAAAGGCTTGTTCGGGATACCAACGCAAACTAAAACCCCCAGACGGCGGAGCATCTGCATGCTTTGAATGTATGCCGACTCACTGTTCGCCGTACATATCACCGCGTGGGCGCCTAGGCCTCGAGTAACAGACTTGACCCTAGCATCGATATCATCCTTTTTATAATCAAAATAGTCCGTCGCCCCAAGCGAGAGACAGAGCTCCCTCTTTTTGTCACCACTGGATCGAGATTCAGTAAGTAGAGCCATTGCTAATTTCACAACTGACTTTACCTGTCAATCGCAATGACCTTAAGTCCCTTCTTGACTGCGATCTGGATTCCCCTAAGGATAGAAGTCAATCATCCACTGCCGCTGCGGTGTGAGACGTTCCATACATGTGCCCGAGTCCTCCACCAGCCCCAAGGATCACGATCCATTCCCCCGGTCGGGTTTTTGTCTTCATGATCGACGAGTACATGGCAATTCCCGCTATTCAAGGATTAGTTAATGCGTCAGGGCCCTCTGACTTGGACAAACGCACCGCATAAAAGTGGTGCTGCTGTATCGGGGTCCAGCTCGGGCGGGATGATTGTGACATGTTCGGCAGGACTGACAATGAATTCTAATCAAGGTGTCAGCCATACTCATCGATTCTGCGGCAAACGAAGAAGGTGAACTCACGTTGGAAGGTCCCTGGAACATTCTGCCTCAGATTAGATCTGTTGAAGAAGCTGCAACGCATTCATCCAGCCCGTGACAGTGAAACCTACTGCACCAGCGTTCTTCTGATAAGGACAAGCCGTATGATTGATAGCGCAGATTTCGCACTTCAAGCACGAGCTGTAAAGCCATCTGCGACGGACAAGCAAGTTTTGTTAGGTCTGGAGGCTAAATTCGAACGAAGCAGGGGAAAAGACCTACCGTATACCCACTCTTTTGCCCATCCAAGCCTCCTCATCCACGTTAGATCCAACTGAAGATTGGGCAGTACATCAGAATCCATAGACATTGCAAGCCTGCTCTATGCGCCTCACCTTGCACTACCTTTCCTACTCCCTCATGGCCTGCGACGTCCGTTAACATGAGGGTATCCCCACGAATGCTATGGACATCTGAATGGCACACTCCGGAATATTCGAGCTTGACGAGAACTTCCCCTTGCTTGGGAGATGGCACAGGGCGTTCAGTTGTAATCTCTACCCGTGCACTTGAGGACTTTCTGGGTCCTGACACGACTGCTGCGATTTGTGTTTGAGGGACTGCCATAACTGCAATAATGGTGTCTGGAGAGGATTGCCAAGTACGTCAACTAACGAGTATGCAAACTGAAAGCCGCCAATGCCGCATCAGGGTCAAGGGTAGCTCATATATAAGTATTGAAGTATCTAAGATCTTTGCCTGAATGATGGTCGCATTGACTAACTAGTTCTATCGTTGATAATTGCGGGGATAATCTGATAGTGGTATCATCAGTAGATCGGGCGATTAAACCAGGGCATTGATTGGTGCAGGGGCCAACCATAGAGAGCAACCACCGATAAGAATCTGAGATTGCTGGTTCTGTCAACTGATAGAGGACCGCTGATGCTGGACTATCGATCAGGGAATCATGATGGACCTGTACTGACAAAATGACACTGAGCCAGCGACACAGTACCAGCTATGTGGACAAGAAAGCTGAGCTATTTCAGGGGAAAGATAAAAGGGCGAAGGCTAACAGACACTCCACACCACGCCTGGGCCATTCAGAACTAGCGATTGCCGTGAACAGCATGATCAGAACTTCTGGAAAGCCAAGTACAAGTCTTGCAAGGTCAATCGATCCCTTGCCGAGTTAAATTAGGATATTATGCTAAATTTGCCAAGTCGCAACCAAACCTGTACCGTATAAAAGACATGGACTCCGCGCAGCATAACAGAGTCGGTAAGAACGGAAAGAAGCTGGGAACCTCGGACTCATTAAATCAAGCAACATTTCCGAGTCCTTGAAGGGGCATCTGGACGATATATAGAACGCAATGAAAAAGCAGACGGGGTCTATGACAGAGATTGAACAACGCCAGCGCTTATGCGTTCTCCGCTTGAAGTGTTTGCTTAGTTACAAGTTAGTACCATGTAAAGCAAGTATAGACACGAGGCTGGGCAGGCAGCCAGAGAGAGCAACTTACAACCAACCAGTCCATACCCTCATCTAGACCTTTACCATCAATGGCGGAGCATGCTACGATGCTCCAGTTCCTATCTCGCAGCTCCCCGAGCTTCAGAGCTTCCGAAATCTCTCCGGCACCCTTGGCGCCGGGTTGATCCTGCTTGTTGGCAAACACCAGCAAAGCCGCATCGCGCAGCTCCTCTTCGTTCAACATAGCCGCAAGTTCATCCGCAGCTGTACCAAGTCGCTCAATATCGGTAGAATCAATGACGAATATAACAGCGGCAGTGTTGGCGTAGTAGCACCGCCAGTAGGGTCGAATGGACGTTTGACCTCCGAGATCCTACAATAACCGCACCTTAGCAAATTTCATAAAATTGAAATTATCCGTCTATTCCCAGGGGGCATCCAACATACCCAGACATTGAAATTCAGATTTCTGTATGTGACCGACTCGACGTTGAATCCGATGGTAGGTATTGTTGTGACTACTTCACCGATCTATCAAAGTGCATGTCAGTTAGCGATTATCAGAAATCAGAGCATACGTAGATAATTAAGCACCCGAAGCATACCTTAAGTCTGTAGAGAAGTGTGGTTTTTCCGGCATTGTCCTACAGAGTCAATAAAAGCGAATTAGCCTTAGACCTGGGAAATTACATGCAGCGCAGAGCATGAGAGCATGTGGAACACGCACGAGACCTAATATAAGAATTCGAATCTCCTTCTTGGTCCAGAAGAAAGACCACAGACGTGATAGCGATCCTCCCATTGTCGTGAATCTGAAAAGGGACGCTGCAGTTGGGGGCGTGATCAATGTAGAGGTTGAGGGAGGTGTTTGCGGAAGCGTAAGCCGTGAAGAGCAGGACGAGATATACGACTAAAATGAGACGATCGTAGCGTGGATTTGCTGGAACGAGGTAGAATTAACAGTGTTTCGTTTCATAAGATTGAAGATATTGAAATATAGAAGATATCAACCGCGCATCACTTTCAGCCTTGAATAGCTGACTAAATCGCGAGTTTCTTGGTGTGTCTTGTGGCAATCATTGGACCGCGGATGAACCCTGCGGCGCCAATCGGCCTGGCCCAAGCTCAGTCGTCCGTCACTTCTTAGGAGATGGGGATGACCTTTTGAAACTATCCATTGACCGGGATTGCGCGGTGACTGTCCTATTCCGCACCAGAGTTGCTGCGCGCTTCTCTTCCCAGCCGCTGTTTCTCCCTTGTGCGACTCCGATACTACAACTTTTCCATATCGACAGTCCTAGCAGTGAATGCTCATATGCCTACCCAGAGTTCACTTTGAAGAGCGTCTTTGGCCTTCGGACTGGCTCACTACCGGACTCCCATCTTCATCTTCCAGTGCATCTCACAAAAGTCGTTTTCACCATTAAAACGCCACCATGGTTGGCAAAAAGTCTGGAAAGGCCCTCAAAGATGAGGGTAAGTATCCTTGGAGCCGCTTCGTTCCTCAGTCCCCGCGTCGGGCCACCAGTTATGGCTGACATTTTTCTGATGGCAAGGTCTTGAGAGGACGGATAACAATATGGAGCTGTCGAATTGGCCTCAGATCGCGCCGATCAACCAGAAGAATTACTACACGTATGTCCGACTTGCGTCTTGTTCAACCTGCAAGCAAGGCATTTCTAGTTTCTATCACTAACTTAACGGCTCCAACAGTGATTATCTCAAGAGGGACGACCAGTACCTAGCATTCCGGCTACAAAATGAGGAGGCGAGGAACAAAATGGCCAAAACGGCCAAAGACCGCGATCGCGCTTTAGCCATGGCGAAAGCGAACGACTTGGGCCTACCCGAAGCAGAGGCTGACGGTGATGGGGATACAAATATGGAGGAGGGCGCGGAGGAGACAACAGAAACATTAGGCTCCAAGGTTATTGTAGTTCATGTCGGAAGCCAGAATCTGCGGATCGGCCTGGCCAGCGACGCACTGCCGAAGACTGTTCCTATGGTGATTGCACGAAAATCAACCACCAGCGAGTCCGAAGACCATGACGAGCCCCATCCGAAGCGATTGAAAATGGACGATGGCTCTCTGATGGAGCCTGAAAAAATGCTTGGTCCGGAGGTTTGTTCTTTGTTCTACCCAAACGCCTGGGTCTTATTTTCGCCATTTTCTAACCACTTGAATGAAAATAGTTCTCCTCGCAGTATACCACGATGGCCGCAGAACTCAAAGCGCATATGCGACAAAACAAGCGCAGGACTCTACCGAACTCGAAAGAAATGGTTATCAACTACAATCGGAGAACGGTACCAGAAACCATCCCAGAACACAATGACCCGCTGCGTGTCGAATGGACAGATATTACCGACGATGCACCTGAATATATTGTAGGGCAAGCAGCGCTTAGAATACCTGACGACTCGAAACCCAGGTACAAGCTCTACTGGCCGATGCGATACGGATGGTGCAACGAGAGAGACTATGAGAGCAAGAGACTCTTGTTCTTGGACATCTCACTCATTCTCGAGGACACAATCAAAAGCCAATTGGGCTTGACCAGCAAGAAGGAATGGCCTCAGTACTCTTGCGTTTTCGTTATCCCTGACTTGTATGAGAAGACTTATATTACCCAAGTTCTCGAGATGTTGATGAGGGAGTTTTCATTTGCCCGCGTCTGCTTCATCCAGGAGAGTTTAGCGGCCACCTTCGGTGCGGGATTCACATCAGCATGCGTCGTGGACATTGGCGCGCAAAAGACGTCCATCTGTTGCGTGGAGGAGGGAATGTGTATTGAGAACTCTCGCGTCAACCTGAAATTTGGTGGAGCCGATGTGACCGAGGCATTCATCAAGATGATGCTCTTCGACCACTTCCCATACGCGGAGATCAACCTATGGCGCCGCTACGACTTTTTACTAGCCGAGGAGCTGAAAAAGAATGTCTGCACCTTGAACGAAGCAAGTGTCTCAGTGCAAGTGTTCGATTTTCACCTTCGCATTGCCGGTCAGGACACCCGGAAGTATTCCTTCAAAGCGTACGATGAAGTACATCTCGCCCCGATGGGGTACTTCCAGCCCTCGATATTCGATCACTCACGGAAACTCGAAGGAAGAAGAAAATTCATCACGCGGTCGGTGGATATCTACGACGGTCAGCCGAATGATCCAACTTCGGGGCCCAATCTGAAATCTTGACTGCCATTGCCCCTCCTGCCAATGGCCAAGTGAATGGTGAATCCCAATCATTCACGTTGGATGTGCAGTCGACGCCGAGTCGCTCGCACCAAGTGAATGCACTCAGCCGTGTCCAGGAGCTGGATGCCACCCCCGATCTTCGGTTGCCGGGTCGCCTGCTCCGGAAGCGATTGGTACGCCCCAAGCTGGTGGTGCTGGTACCCCACTCCCCGGTGGCCAGGGACAGAGCGCCTCACAACCTCGTGCACCTACTGTCGAGGAGCGAGATGACGTTCTTCCAGTCTTCCCCTTGGATAATGCGATCCTCACATCTATTTCGCATGCAGCTCGATCTGATGAGCGTAAGATGCGAGACTTCCTCGGAGGAATCATGGTCGTAGGAGGCGGCAGTCTTGTCAACGGCTTCCACTCCTTCCTGGAAGAGCGTCTCCAGACGCTGAGACCAGGGTTTGCTAGCGAAATCATGGTCGGTACACCTCCAAGAGACCTCGACCCCCAAGTGGTAGTCTGGAAGGGCGCAAGCGTGTTCGGTAAACTGAGCGGAACAAATGACAGCTGGATCGGACAATTGGAATATGATAGACTGGGTCACCGACTGATGGCGTACAAGTGCATGTGGGCATACTAGCTCTTCTTTTCTTAATACTGCTTTCTCTTTACTTTACTTGTATCCTACGGATGACGGAGTTGGTTTATGGACGACACCACGGGGACTATTTCAGAACAATTACGGGTACCTAGCTTATCAGAGAGATTCAATATTGACCCAATGAGACCATGTGATATTTTTTAAGTGTCTTGACTATTCACTGACCTGGAGTCTAAACAAATAATGCGTTACATCACATGACGGTGGTGTGCTGGAAGTGGTGGCCATACTAAACAAAAACAAAATACGGCTTAATCTTTCTCCGCCCCTCAAAGCACCAACCCGCTAAGCTATAAACATCAGGCGGTAAAGATATGCAGAATGGTTTATCCTACCCCAAGTGAGTCCATCATAAATCAAGATTCCCAGAGGTAGTTCAACTCCCTTACACTTATCAATCTGAGCGCTCCTGTATAGTTCTCGCGCCGGTTAATACCAGCAACGGAGGCCCAGACGGTTCTCTGGTTCCTGACTCTGAAATCTCGTCGATTGCGCTTCCCAGCCAGTGTAAGTTCGGACCACTAGCTGGCGCAGTTCAAGGCTCTCCTGCTGACATTACTATGCAGTCTACAGTCCACCTCTTACTGATACGCGCTCGTCGGACTCGAATACTGGAATTGCGGCCGAGATGTCGAAATCCAAGGACAGCGGCTCCTCTGGGAGTTTTCATCAGGAGTACATCGCGTCTTTACGTTATCGGAATGATCTGCCTCCGCCGGATATGCCACCCAAGTTCCTCGATATCCCGCATGAGGGTCTGCAGAGATTCCTGACGCCTGGTTTCGCATCTAACTTGGCGCGACGTGAGGAGCCCAATATCGATGTTGATGCCGAGGGTGGTATGCCGATAGACCTTGTCGGTATTCCGGGGCTGCATTTGGGCGACGAGAGTGGTAAGTCGAAGTTCCACTTGTCTCTTTTGTCGCATATCGCTCAGAGCCTAACTCAACGCAGCTATTATGGCACCCGAAACCCCTCAACCGATTGATCCCGCCGACCTTCCGCTGCTTATGACTTTAGACCAGCTCAAGAACCCCGCCCCCAAGAACGCGAACGTCAGTTTCCTTCGTCGGACGCAATATATCTCTGCCGGTCTCCGCGCACCGGACGGCCCCAAGGTCACACCCATCAGAGCAAAGGCCCGTTCCGCCGACAAAGCGAAATCACAGGATGATCCGATGTACATCAAAAAATACATTCAAAAAGGCTTCGATATTGCTTATCCGGATAGCAGGCATGTTGGGGAGGATACACCTAGCAGAATCAAGGGCCACACTCCTAACAAAATCGAGGTCGAAGCTTGGGCTCACCCCGTTCATCCTGACAATCCGAAGCTCAAGCCGGTCGGGTTCTACCCTCTGCTCCCCGATCTACAGGGATTCCCGGACCCTGGAGGATTCGTTCAGTTCAAGTTCGACAAAGCGCCTGTTCAGGGTGTTTCAGGGAAACGGGACGAGCGCATGGAGGTGGCCATTCTTCTTCCTTCCGCACCAGAAGAGCGAGTCTGTCAGGAGCATGCGACCAAAGCCGCTTTACACAAGTCGAATCCCGAATTGTACCCTGATCCCGGTCCGATACCGTGGGATTACGATCTCTTCTTGCCCGAGAAGAGGGACGCGGCCAAGGAAGTCATTGCGAGCCTGCGGCTTTCGAACCCCGATCGCGACAGTGAAGTCCTGTACACTCATGAAGGAACGGATGGCACGAGGTTCCATCGTTACGAACGCATGCGCACATACGCCACTAGTGCTCAGACCCTCGGCAATGACTCGAAGCAGCGCGATGTGGCTCTGACCCTTTTCGATCCAGCGGAGGCAAAGGAAGGACAACAGTCAAAACAGAAAGGTGCATATTACTATCCTATCCTCGGAAAGACCCGTCTGAAGCCCGAGCGGGCCCGTACCATTGCGCAGGCGGGTCTTGCTCCCACGCGGCCCAAGACAAAGGAGGACCAGGTAGACCAAATTCAGGTTGTTGTCCGCGATCCAGACGAGGCCGAGGTATACAAACGCTCCCTCCATAGAGCGGCCATTGATCCGAAATTTGGAAAATCTCTCCCCCGCCTCCCGAACCTGAACCTGCTCCTGAGCAGGAACATGCTGAAACCCACGACTCTGACCGAGGAGAAGAGGCGACTGAAGATCGCAATCACCAGCCAACCGCTGCAGAGGTGAGCGACGAAGAAGACAGGATGAGCGACGAATAGACCATTATTTTTTGTCGATTTTGCGGCCTTTGCTCTTGGCCGGCGCATTGTTTCCCATCATTGTAACATTTCAAAATTTTCATACCCATTCCATACGGCATACCTTGAGGATATGTGAGGGCTTTGGGCCTTTTAACTCTCTAATTCCGATGTATTCTTACGCAGACTTAGCTCCAGGCTGATGCTACTTAGCAGTGGTTGGTTCGTCATCGATGTTGAAGCAGCAGGATTACTGGCGTTCAAAGGCGTGAATGAAATTGGAGTCGAGTAGATATTCTGGCAATTACATCTATGAACTGATTACTTTCTGTAAAGCTACAGCTATCTTGAAATCCCTTACTCCATAGCTGTAAATGCTGCACACCGCTCGGAGATGGTGAAGCATTTATGCCGGGAATATCCCTGACCGCCCGCTGCATCCGTTGACGCAAGAGGAACAGAAGAAAAAGAGTTCACCCAAGTGCGAGAGCTGGCTGGTTTAGTCGCGCGGGGAATCGACCGCTGCTCTTCATTTACTACTACGGCCGGACTGTTGAACTGTGCTCCGATTTTTGTTACCTGAAGGTGAGTTGGTTATATTTTTGTTACCGGATGAATTAGCGAGGAGCTTGCGGTCCAATCGCCCTTGAAACTTATCTACCATGTGTCGATCTTCAACGATATCATATCTCTGACTGGCCTGTAGGACTACTCAATTGGGCTGATCAAGCACCTTCTGGGCAGCCAGAGTCGACATGGTTGCCAATTCGACCAGCCTCGCCTGGAGATCGGCCGGTTTGAGGGCCCGCGCCGTGCCGTCCTTGCGATGCTCCCATCGGTCCTCAATCCTTCATAGACAGGCCGCTTTCCAGCAACAAGGTGCTGTGCGACATGCCTCAGGCACGACCAGTGAGGCAGCTGACGCCGTAAAGGAGGCCCCAAGAAGGCCGGCCGCGGCTTCAAGAGAACGGTTTACGGAACATCGTTGGTACTGGCTGCATTGGTAGGTTATGTATATGCGACGGATACCAGGGCCAGCATCCACCGCTACGCTGTGGTCCCTCTTGTTCGGATGCTTTATCCCGACGCGGAAGAGGCGCATCATATTGGTGTGGAAGCTCTGAAGACGCTCTACAAGTATGGACTTCATCCACGGGAACGCGGCAACCAGGACGGTGACGGCGTGTTGGCTACTGAGGTAATAATACAGCCCTGACGTGCATAAGTGTTTTGCTTAGCAGGATTTGCCTTTGCAGGTCTTCGGGTATACGCTCAACAACCCCATTGGCATCTCGGGCGGCCTTGACAAGCACGCTGAGATTCCCGACCCACTGTTCGCTATTGGCCCAGCAATTGTTGAAGTCGGCGGCACGACTCCCCTGCCGCAGGAGGGCAATCCCCGTCCTCGCGTGTTCCGACTGCCATCTCAGAAAGCCATGATCAACCGATACGGCCTGAACTCCCTGGGCGCCGACCACATGGCGGCCATCCTGGAGAAACGCGTGCGGGATTACGCCTATGCCAACGGGTTCGGCCTGCACGATGAAGCGGAGCAGCGGGTCCTCGACGGTGAGGCCGGCGTCCCCTCCGGCAGTCTTCATCCCGGACGGCTGCTGGCCGTGCAGATTGCAAAGAACAAGGCGACGCCCGACTCGGACATCGAGGCCATCAAGCGCGACTATGTCTACTGCGTTGACCGACTGGCCAAGTACGCCGATATCTTGGTTGTGAACGTCTCCAGCCCCAACACGCCTGGACTGCGCGACCTGCAAGCGACGGCGCCGCTGACCGCCATCCTCAAGGCCGTGGTGAGCGCCGCCAAGAGCGTCGACCGCAAGACCAAGCCTTACGTGATGGTCAAGGTCAGCCCGGACGAGGACTCGGATGAGCAGGTCTCCGGCATCTGCGACGCGGTGTGGCACTCGGGGGTGGACGGCGTCATCGTGGGCAACACGACCAACCGCCGGCCTGCCCCGCTGCCGCAGGGCTTCACCCTACCGTCAAAGGAACAGTCCACGCTGAAGGAGACGGGAGGCTACTCGGGGCCGCAGCTGTTCGACCGCACCGCTGCCCTGGTAGCCCGCTACCGGGCGCTGCTGGATGCACCACCCGCTCCGGCGTCCGATGCGAATCAGACCGACCAAACCAAGGAACTGGCAGCGGCCGTGACGCGAGCCGAGCCTGACGTTGAGAACGTGCCCGCAGTCGAGCCGCCTACTCCCGCCAATCGGCCAGCGCGCAAGGTGATTTTTGCCTCTGGGGGTATCACCAACGGCAAGCAGGCGCAGGCTGTGCTGGATGCGGAGCCTCTGTCGCGATGATGTACACGGCCGTGACGTATGGTGGAATCGGCACAGTCACTCGAGTGAAGCAGGAATTGCGAGAGGAAAAGAAAAACCGTCAATAGAATGTGGAGTTGGATATAGCCCGTTCAATTATTGTAAATAGTCAGCGTTGCCAATGATCATTATTTTTCATCCTTCAAATCTCTTCACATAAAACCCCTAGCTAGTGAGTCCCCACTATTGCTCTGACAACGTCTGCTCCACCTCCTGGACCACCTTTTTGACACCCTCAATCTCATGCGCAAACCTCCCCAGAAACATCCCATCAACCGCCTTCCCCAGCCCTCCAGCCCCCACAACCCGGCCCGCGCTGCCCCATACAACACCCTCACCTGTCCCTCCCGCTCCCCAATCACCGCCCGTATCCCCTCCACCACAGCCGCAACATGGTCCACCCCAGCAGGGTTCGCCTTCCCAATCGCCCAAACAGGCTCATACGCGAAGATAACCGGCGCCGCGGAGGGAATCGCACCCAGCACCGCGCGCACCTGCCCGCACACTCACGCACCGCCAGCCCCACCGCCTCTGACGCGATCGCCCCCGGCGCCGTAACCTCCCCAATACAAACAAGGGGGATCAGGCCGTGCGCAACAGCAGCCGCCGCCTTGCGCGCTACCTGCTCGTCCGTCTCGCCGAAGAGAGCGCGGCGCTCCGCGTGGCCGAGCTCAACTAGCCTCACCCCCAGCGAGTGCAGCGAGGCGGGGGAGACCTCGCCTGTGTAGGCGCCTGCGGCCTCCCAGAAGCAGTCCTGGGCGCCGAGGAGGAAAGGGGGTTCGGGGTCGAAGTCGGAGGGGAGTTTGAAGCCAGCGGCCCAGTCCTTGATTATCTGGGCGCAGGGGTAGATCGTTAGAAAATCGGGGACGAGGGCGAGGAGGAGTCTGGAGCGGTTTTTGGGGAGGACGATTTTGTTGGTGGGGCTAGGAGGTCGCGCAGGTAGGAGAGGGTGCGGTCGGGGGTGAAGTACATTTTGAGGGAGATGATGAGGAGGGTTTTGGGGAGGGGAGGGAAGGTTGTCTTTGTGGTGGCCATTGTGTTTGTCTTTTGGTATTTGCTCTGCTGAGTGCGCTATGAAGGACGGGCTGTGGTGGTTCAGTTGTTGATGTAGCGACTGGTAGCTAAAAGGCAGGATGAGAGCTCGGATAGGCACCCCTTGGGATAAGGTCTACAATTTGGCTGCCAATGAGGTGAGTATGTATTCTGAGGTATGACGGGAATGTCCTTCCTGGCTTTTGGACATACCTCCAGGGATAGTATCGATTGTAAGAAGAAGTAATTATGCAGTGTCTCATCCGGTGATGTCACTGATTCATTAGCATATATGGTGTGTGTCTCAGAACTTTGACACCTCTCAGCATAGGAATTGTTTGATGGGCTGACAGAAAAAAAAACAAACGATCTAATCTGAATATCCCTATCCCTAAAACATGTCATCGAGTCTAGACTTGTCTTTGTCAATATCTGCTAGTCATGGGATGCTTCTCTGCTCCAAATCGGCGCAACTCCGATGCCCTCGATTCTATGGCTGTACGGGAGGCTTGTTTTGGGATAGCCTTGGAGTACCTTACACCTTGCAGAGTATGTTACAGCCTCGGTACCCTTCCTTGATACGTCCATGTACCTTATTAAGCTTAGGCTTCAAAATTCCTCCCCTGGATAAGGTACATAGCTAAGTGGAAAGTAACAGAATGAGATGGATATGGATCCTGGAATATGCACCTATATTATTAGGGTGAAGCCATCCCGAGGAGCCGCTTGGGCCTCTTTATTATTGGATGCTAAGAAACTGATGAGTGGATAATACGCGCTTGGCCAAGAGCAGCAAGCCGAATCTATCGAGTTATAAATATTATGAAAGTGGGGAGTGGTGCATCAGCATCAAGCAGGAGTTCATGAAGCCGAGACTGTCCTTTTTAATATTCGCAGATAGTCAGTGTCTATCATGCCCTTTTCCGACCTCGATGCTATTACACGGTGTACTGTCTTCCGCTGTCAATCATAAAGTGAAGTACCTGTGAAACTCTTAAGTTATAACTAGGGCCAGCAGTCAATCAACTCTTTGATAGTGGGCAGGATATGTACCTCTGTTTCTGGCATGGTATCTATGTATGTGGGTCCCTAATACTAAGGTAGCCTAGCACTGGTTCACTCCAGAACAGTTTCTATGGAACCCCAGAATAGGTATTCCGGGGTACAACGGACTCACTGTTCACTACTCTAAGCCATGGTTTCATCGCCTCGATCCCAAGGAGTCGATTTCCGATTTAAAGATACCATGGGGGAATGGAAAAATTGCTTCCCAAGAATTGTACGAGAACAGATGGACAGGAGTGTCATGCATGGCAGCATGATGCAGGCAGGATAAGCATACTAAACCGTCATACTTTTCAAGCCAACTCAGCACCGAAGTCTACTGTGCCCGAGCATGGATAGACGACACCTAGCCAGGGCCAATCTGTCTGTCACTGGTTCCTCCCCTCAAACAAGATCCACTCGGCATCCTGATATACTTACCTCTTGGAGTCAAGATAATGAAGATCAGCTGTGTTGAATGCGGTGTTTCTGGGCTGGCGTCATACTGCAGGACGGTACAAACTCATATGCTATAACTATCCGCTGTGAGTAAATGTCGCCAGGATTCATCCTAAATCATCCGAGACACACTCGACATCGAATGAACTGCCTTTTTATTGTACGTAGTGGATAATAATACCGACGGTAATGCATCGATATCCATAGTAATCCGTCCTACCGGATCTTGACGCCACTGCGGGGCATCGCAAGCGTTTCATTCCTCCACCACGGTCCACGACATGTCTACCAATGCGTCTGATGCTCGGGTTGTGGGGGTTTCCATCCTCCATCACCCTATGAGACTGTCTATCAGAAAAGATAATGGTCGCAAATGTCGTGCAGGCAAGACTCAATAGTCCAAGAAACTCGACCCGACTAAGTTCAGCACCCAACCGCTGCACGGGACAGTCTCCACTGTACCCCCCAGATACTGTGCAGCCGAGAATGGAGGTGTAAAAGCAACCAGCAAAAGCTCACAGGACAAAGATATAAAAGGCGTCTGAATCCCCTTTTGTAATCATTCAAGTGGATTCCTTCCATCGGACCTACGCCGTACATCTGTGTCTCTCATCTCTCTAGCCACACATTCCACTTTTCTTCTCCATCTGGCTGCTTCTTTGTCATCATGTCTACCGATCTGAAGCCCCTCCGCATTGTCATGGCCTGTGATGAGGCCGGCCAGCCCTACAAGGAGACCATCAAGGCTGCTCTGGAGAAGAGCCCTCTGGTCGAGTCCATCACCGACGTCGGCGTCAACTCCACCTCCGACAAGACCGCCTATCCTCACCCTGCCGTCGCCGGCGCCAAACTCATCAAGGAGGGCAAGGCAGATCGCGGTCTCTTCATCTGTGGCACCGGTCTCGGTGTAGCCATCGCCGCCAATAAGGTCCCCGGCATCCGCGCCGTGACCGCTCACGACTCCTTCTCTGTGGAGCGCTCCATCCTCAGCAACGACGCGCAGGTCCTCTGCTTCGGCCAACGCGTCATCGGCATCGAGCTGGCCAAGAAGCTCGCCACCGAATGGCTCACCTACCGCTTTGATCCCAAGAGCGCCTCTGCCGCCAAGGTCCAGGCCATCACCGACTACGAGCGCGAATTTGCTGCTGCTCAGTAGACGGTTCAATTTGAGGATTGGCTCTTGCAGCCGTCAATTGGTGACGGACAGCCATATCCCTCTTCGCATATATAAACTGTCGGTTGGACCGATATATACGTGTATACACACATGATTTTTTTTTGATGTTATCCAGCGAATCAATGATACCACGACTGGCTGGGATGAATTGGCAGGCCGACATCCCGTCCGATGTCCATCGAACTATCTTTTCCCTGTTGAAAAAAAAAGATATTTGCAGGATAGATGTGAATTAATTTTTGGGGAATTATTTTTTCGTACATACTCTTCTAGGTCCACACGAGTAAGAGTGAGCAATCTGATGCTTCAGTATACCGGCTGAGTCAGCCATTCCGCTCGATGATTCCGCGGGGATCCATCGGCTTCGATGCATTTGCACAATGACTGACCACCAGACATCAGGTCCAGCATCCATAATTATAAGAAATGGATAAATGGCAGCCTGCTCCTCGTCTTCAGCGTGAGGCATCACTCCTGGATTTTCATGGGCCTGGATCCGCCTAATAGACTTCACCACGGGATACCCCGGACTATGTAAATCGACTCATTGTTCACAGTATATTGATTCATCGATTGCATCCGCTCGACCTTTTTTCGGTTACTCTAAATCTCCGGGACCAACGTGCGTCTGCCTGTGGAGCAGCCTCGATAGTCGATACTGAAGTCTGAAGAGCGGAGCCCCACCGTGATCGGTGTCCGTCTACGTGCGTTGACTGATCACAATTCACCGAGTCATAGACTCACATTGCTTCGTCTATTGCGATAGATCCCGAATATCTGATCATCCGGCATGTCCTTCGAACTGAAAGAGAAGGGCAACCAGCTCTTCAAGGAAGGCGACTACAATGGTGCGGAGGAGCTCTACTCTCAAGCGTGATTATCCCCGTTGCCCATGTCATGGCCGAGCAGATCTGACTTCTTGTGAATTGGTAGTATCCAGAAGAATCCGCGCGAACCCACCTTTTTCACAAACCGCGCCCTCACCCGGATAAGGCTGGAGAAATGGGCTGGTGTGGAACACGACGCGCGCACGGCGATTGAGCTGTACGGGCCCAAGAACCCCCAGAGCCTCAAGAGCTGCTGGTACCTCGCGCAGGCGCTCCTGGGCCTGGGGCGCCCGCAGGAGGCGTACGAGGTAGCCATCGATGCCTACCGAGCAAGTCTGGCGGCCAAGAGCGCGCAGACGGAGAATCTGTCCAAGACGGTCCTGCGGGCCAAGCAGCAGATCTGGGCTGCGAAGGAGACTGCCCGGCTGCGGGAGATGAATGATACCCTGGCGACGGTGGAGTCGTTGATCGGGGCCGATCTCAACAGGGAGCTTGCGGAGCTGCAGGCCAGACTGGACAAGGGCGAGATCGGACAGACGGGGTTCGTGGAGGATCAGAAGGCGCTCCGTGCGGATGCGGAGAAGAATATTCAAAATGTCCGGGACGCGTTCCGCATTGCGTCCAATGGGGATATCCAGGAGAGGGTAAGTAGTTGTCCCTTGGGAGAAGAGTGTTCCTTGTGGGTGAATGGGTATCTAATGATTTTGCTCCAGGTTGTGCCCGATTACCTGGTTGACGGGATCACATTTGAGATCATGCATGATCCCGTTATCACACCCAGCGGCACCAGCTTCGATCGCATTGGAATCATCAAATACGTCGAACAGTCCGGCGTGGACCCTATCACCCGGGTACCCATGACCGTCAACGATCTCCGACCCAACTATGCGCTGAAAGCCGCGTGCGAGGAGTTCCTCAATAAGAACGGCTGGGCTGTCGACTGGTAGATCATGGATGTACTGGTGTGGTTTTTGTTCACTTCTTCCAATGTATTCTTCGAGTTGCCAGCGGAATACCCCGCTCTTTTTCTTTTCTTTTCTTTTCTTTTCTCTTGTCTCTTTCTGCATCAAATGGCGTCTTGGATGGCACGCGCTCTGCACGGTGCATGGATGATTTTGTGAAATTTAGCATGATGTTTGGGTTACTGTCCTCATGGTCACTTTTTCATGTGATGAGATGACTTGGCATACTACTATATGACTTAGTATAGGGAGCATATCAACTGACGTATTCACATGCATCACCTAAATAAATACTAGTCTAAGCTTGTCAAACCACACACTCTGTAGAAGTTGCCGAGTTCTGACGTAGCACAGTCTCATAGTCTGTAAGAGTCTGTTTATTTACTCGTACTGGCCCCAACGGATTCTGCTAATCAACCCCACCATCTATCCCACCTCCGCTATTTTCACCCCTCACCACTTCCCCCTAATTCAACTATCCAAACACCTACACACCTATCCAATCTACTTCAGCTTCAAACAGATACAAACGCAAGTCATCAAAATGGCCTCCCTCACCGACTTCTTCACTGCCTTCGACGCCGCCGCCTCCAAGGAGAAATTCACCCCCGCCCTGCAGTCGTCCGCCGCCTCCATCGACAAGGCCGCCCTGCAGGCTGCCCTCGACGCCGTCCTCGCAGCCGGCGACGACGCAACCGCAGCCGGGAACGATGCCGTCCTGAAGGCTGGTTTCGAATTCGCGACGGAACTGGTTAAGATGCTGGAGAAGGAGCCCGGGCCGGAGGAGAAGTTGGGGGTATGTCCTCCCCCTGCCAACCCTGGTATAACAGAGTGAGAGGGAGGTGCTGATGGTTCCTAGCTGTACAAGTACTTCAAGCAGGCGAGGGGCGAGAAGCCTGCTGAGCCGTCGTTTTATCAGATGGAGGTATGTATTTCTTCTCTACTGCCGGGGGGTTGTTGAAGGGGGAGGAAGCAGGCTAATGATACCACAGGCCAAGTTCAAGTATAATGCCTGGAAGGAGATTAGCCACATCAGTGCGCAGAAGGCTCAGGCGCTGTATATCAAGCAGGTGAATGATTTGATTAACAAGTACGGCACCCGTGCGTAGATTGCACGGTGTGGTTGCGGGATGTGGTGGATGATACTTGGGAGGATATATACGCTACGTATGGAGTTAATAAGAATGAATCCAGTTACGCACGTGGTGATATGAGCTTGGTTGTTGTTTCTATGGTATACACCGTAGGCTATAGACGTAAGAGTCACCCCTCCCATGTCTGCCCCAGCCAGTCCGGTTCGGTGTGGGCAGCTGTAGCGCACCATGGGACTTCATCGGCCTTGTAGGAGGTCAGGGGAAGATCGTATGGCATCCGGAGCCCGACGAGGACGTCGCATTCTGGCATATCCTCCGGGAGCTGCGGTGGAATGTCTCGTTTGAAGCACGGGACCATGACCGCTTGCTGGTGTCGCTCGGTGGTATTATCTTCTTGAACAAAAAGCTGCGGCCAGACCATCACGCCAATCTCCCAGCTGCAGATCCTCACTTCTCCCGCGTTGTTGACGGCAGCTCCCCACGCCTGAGTAGATAGGTTGGCGGAGGTCACCATCGCCCAGTCGATTGTGTCCATCTTCTCTGTGTCCGAGAAGCGAATGTACGTTTTGATATGTGGTGCCGCACGGCGGCGACCAGCTTCCCGTTGAGGAGTACTGGTCGCGTTGCTGTCACTGTCTCCCGCCCAGTGGCGCAGATATGGCCGCAAATATTGGAGTTGTTTCTGCTGTGTGGCGCTTTGCAGTTTCATGTGGATCGATCCACCGGATCCATAGCCGTTTAGAGATCGGCGGATCTCGTCGGGAGTAGGGAAGATGATGGAGAATTTCGGTTGAGGGATACTCGCCCTGGAGGACGTGGGTGAAAGTGAAGTGAAGAAGACGTCTTTGAGCCATTTGTCTGTCTGTCCGAGGGAGGCTATCGATGAGATCTACTGTGGTCAGAGCTTGATCGTATAGACACGAGGGTCGGTCCTACCTGGGTGATAATATGGGCCGGCCCAGTTTGGCTTTTCCCCTTCGGCGTCAGAGGTATCTGGCGAGTAGCTTCTTTCAAAGCTGGCCATCCCCATAGCGTCTTCTTCCTCGAATCCAGAGTGCTGAGTCTCTGTTTGGACGGGACGCTTGCGATCAAAGCGGCGCGAACGGCGCTAAAGTCGAAGCGCTCGAGTTGTCTGACCAGGGACCCTGTTTTCTTGACGCCGTATTCGTTCAGGTAGGCGAGCAGATCCCTTTTGAATCTTGCCCCGCTGCCGATGACCCCAGGTCCCTCAGGTTCCCTTTCGGTCTTTCGCAGCGGGAGAAGAGGAGACCGCCAGACGGCCTGACACATATTCGCCCAGTCGCCCGGTATCATATTAGCCGTATGAATGACAACTCTGCTCAGTTAGCAATCTAAAAAGCAAGCGACTCCATGAGCATTCCACATACTGTGCAAGATCGTCATGACGAAGGAGGATCATCATCTTCGAATGATGTGTGCCAAACGGTTCGGGCATGTAGGCAGTTATCGCCTCAACATTCGGATATCGAGGACATGCTTCCTGCTTTTGTAAACATCTTCATCACACAGACTAGTGCTCTTGCAGGATGAAAGAACGAGAAGCATACCTCAATCCGAATCCGATTCGGGGCGTCCTTTTTCCACGATCCATGCACAACCTTGACCTGCACCAGGCGTCTTACGTCCTCATCAAACTGACTCATCAGAAAGTCCACATCAAACAGGAAATTGAACTGCCAGCATTCTCGGATCATGGGATCCCCAAGGATATCTTTCAACCGAACTGTATCGACATTGTTGCCTGAGGCAGCAGAAAGGTCCCGGATATGAGTGAGCTGGAAGGGAGATGGGATCAACTGCGGTCGACGACCAGCCAACTCTGCAGATTGAATGGACGTTTGAGGCACAGATGATTCTCTACGAGGTCGTGATGATGGAGGAGGAGTGATGGATCTGTGCAAGGATGCCAAGCCATTTGCTACGGCTGTCGGAGTTGCTTCACTGGGCTCTGGCTGATCAAGAGCTGATAATTTGACCCTCTTGGACGGTCGGTCTTCTTGTTCCATCGCGTAGTAGGTGATAGATGAAAAGTGTCTGGTTGACTTCCTAGTACGAAGCCGAAGTTGAGGTGGGCGGAGTGTGATAGACGAGGATGACCGTACGGCATGCAAAATAGAATGAACCGAAGATGACAAGCTGATCCGTTGACATACCATTGACGGTCAAGTCAAGATGGAAAACTCTGGTGCATATCCTGTGCAATGCGAATGCGTAGGTGATGGGAAGAACGGATGCAAGGGCTGGAAGGAAATGAGGATGGCCACTTTTGGTAACTGAGTTGAACATATTCCGCTGCAGCTGACACTAAATGTCATATTGCCACAATCGCAGTCCCAGTCCGACAAATGAACAATTCAGGGCCATTCATGAGGAGCTTCGATTTTATGAGAAAAGCTTTTGATATTCTATTCTATATTACAACAACCCTTCCGTTCGAGTATATATACAAGACCTTCTAATGATCACACAAGTGGCCGGTACTAACACAATTGAGAATGATATAAAAAGAAAGCAGTTGGGATTCACCACATGAACCTCTGAACCTTCCCCGGCTCTTGTGGCCATTCAAAGCCCTTGTACAAAAAGATATACCCAGTTGCAGCGTTGATCGCCAAGAACCAGTACGTCTCCATGAACAATGAGAAATTAGTTGCCAGGTCGGCGTGCAGGGCCTCCCGCTCATCACGAGGCCGTTGTTGACGGTACACAAGAGGCACGGGCTGTGGGGGTAGATGAAGCCGCCACATTACCCAGGGAATGATAAAATAGCGTGGCTCAACGAGCGGCGCAGTAACGAGCGATAGTGCCGTGGCTGCAAGCCAGACGAGCACAAAGCTCACTCGTGGGGCTTCCTGCTGCTGCTTCTGACGCTGAGCGAGGTGCTCCTGGATTCGAGCAAGAACCTCGGGAGAAAATTGTTCTTGGGCGGGCGGCGAGGTCGTCACTTGGCTGACTTTTTTCGACTTGGACTTGCGTTCAGACTTCTCTTTCTTGCGGGCAGCCTCCTTCAACTGCCCTTTCTGAGCAGCAGCTAGTTCGTTTGGCTTCGTGATCGGCACAAATTGAGGCTGTGGCTTGGTGGTGGAGAATCCAAATGCAGAAATCACAGCCCAGCCATCAATAAAGTAGGCAGCAGGAACAGCAGCATATTTGATAGCTGGATGCAAGCGCAGAATACGAAAGACGTAGAAGATATAATGACGGTTATCGGCAAGAGTGAATGGATGGATGATGGTGTTGAAATGGACGATGGCCAGCATGATGGGAAGAATGACCAGGGCCGTCAATATGCCGGGAAGCCCCTTTTGCTTTTTGGTGAATCCATAGTCAAAGAATGCCGGTATCACAGAGTTTGGAAGCACCAGATTGATGACTGGGAAAATCAGGATGGGCCAAGAGAAGAACATAAAATAAGGCCAGATATAGAGCATCTGCGAGAGATGCAGACCTGCTGTGTGAAACTCTTTATGTCCTAGCACATCATCAGTTACACATCCACATCCCTGGCCTACAAGACTTACCCAGGACAACTCCATTGTTCCAGAGCACAAATCCACCAAAGGCTGCAAGGATGACGAGATAGGGAACCGCTGAGACTATTATCGGGACGAAGTTCCTCAGACCAACTGAAGCAAGCGAGATTGATGTCTTGACATAGTCTGAATTTCATCTCAGTGAGTACGCGTCATCCAGGTGGCCAGGAAAGACACTCACCAAAGAAGGAAGCCTCTGACACAAGCGGGTCGTACAGTTCATTGTTGAAACCGCTCTGGATGATTTTAAGCGGGCTTGAGGCCTGGCTGCCCTTCGAGGACTGACGAAGTTTCCGAACCACCTGCAGGCCCCGAGAAAGATGGCCACCCAGAAGATGTTCGTTTGCCGGAGAACAAGAGCGGCCAATCCAGTCGCAACAAAAACTGCCGTCTTGAGGAGTGATCCGGATCCCGCGGAGCGTTTGATATCCCAATTATAGGCTTCAATGACCACAAGGAGGGAGACAATATCCGTGTAATAGAGCCCCGAGAAGAAGAACAGTGGCGGGAAAAGGCAAATATTCAGCACCGTATGGCTCAGCCAAGCTCCAGAAGGGCGCGTATTGCGCACCTTACGCAATGCATCCAAAAGAGTCTGCAGCCGCCAGGGAAGAAAGACCGCTGCAGCTGCAACATTGGTAGCACGGAGGGCTTCAGCGTTGAGCTCCCTTGGAGAGCCACGGAGTGCTAGCGCAGCAGCACAAAGGACGTAAGACCAGAAGTAAAGACCTGGAGGAGTCGTGATTTTAGGGTCCCAATGGAACCACTTATGATCCCAGTACGCCTGTGCCTGAGGGACATGGAAAACCTCGTCGAGGTACGGATCCGGAACGACGGTGTTCACCTTGGCCATCCATAGCGGGATCAGCAGGAGCACAAAAGGAACCGCATATCGAGCAGCTAGAGAGATGCCTGATACAGGCTGCACGGCACTCATGTTGTCTATATCTCATATGAGACAACCAAATTAATGCCACTAGTATAAAGCGAATGAGGGAGAGAAAGCAAAGATCCGTGGATGGAGCTTAAGCTATCCAAGCTCCAGTAAATAGTTCAGTTGCAAACGGTTCAAACATCGTCCTTAACGATTTCCAAAAACGGACAATGAAAGAGACAAAGCATATGCATCACTGGATAATCACATTTCCCTAATTCCAAAAAGTCTCGATGCGATAATTCGCTCTCAGAGGGACCTTGCCCATCAATAGTCATCCGTCCAAATTCTCCCTGGTCCCCAAGCCTGAGGCTCGATGGCCTTCCCTCTTCCGCGGGGCATCACGCCCCCGGAAATTGCCTTTCTAGCGGAGATGGAGATGGTAACGATTCTCCCTCGTCAACGCTTGGAGGGCCTTGAATTGCTAGGTGTAAGTCGCCAGACGGACTGCTTGCTGCTATGCGCCGTCGAAATTGCTATCCTCCCCGATATGTCGCGTGTGAGGGGAGATCCATGTCGCGGCATTGCGGGACATGGACTCGGTACAATCACCAACCCGAGAGCATCAATCATTCGGCAAGCACGGCTCAATTCATGAAATTAACAATCAAACCTTCAAACAGGGTCAAGTCGAACCACTCCTACCTCCTCGCCGCGCCTCCCTCCCACTATGGCTAGCCCTTCTCCTCAAACGCCAGCGCCGCGCAAACATCCTCCCGCCCGCATGGCTTCACCCTGAGCCCCTCTCCCTGATCCTCGAGATCGAAACGCAACATCACGAATACGAGAATGCCTTTTCCCCGCCTCCCCCGCTGCCTGGGCAGCCGAGCGTCCGCGACGGCAACCGTGGACAGAGACCGATAGCCAAGGCGCGTCATACGCCGGACGGCCAGCGATACTTTCCCTCGCCGCCATTCTTGCCGCAGAACATCGCACAGGACAATACACAGTCCGGCGAGCCTCCGTCATTACCGTACCATTGGTTGGAGGTGGGCAATATGCTTCTCGACGCGGCAAGTGACGATCTGGTGGATCCGGACCAGATACGGCGGTTGCTGAAGGAGCTGCGGGAGGTGCGTATGGCGAAGATACGCTCTGGAGTGGACGTCTTGGATGCTGCTGCCACCGGCGGAGGTGGAGTGGCTCTCACGGGTGTTGGGGCGATGGAGATTGGTGAGTCGAGAGGATTTGTGACGGGGGTCGTAGATGGGCTTAGGTACGGCGGTCACTCTACTTGGTTTCGGGGGAGACAGAAAACAACTGACACCATATCTAGGAAAATCGGTGCGTCGAAAGAACAAGCACGGCGGGAGCAGATGGCGGAAGAGATGGCCAATGGGGGATATGATGCCACCCAGGACGATGGAGACGAGATGGAGTTCTAGAGCCCTTTTTCCGATTCGCTTTTCTTGCATTATGGAGTTATGGAAAGGACACACACGGCGCAAGCTATTGCGGTTGAACGAGTTTCAAATGTATATATACCCTATAGTTTCCAAGCATTGCAAAATATCCTGCCACCGGGAAACACCATCAAAATGCACGCTCAGACTGCAGAGACCCGGACAAACTGTTCACAAGAAACTGCCTGTGTTGAACCTATAGGTCCCAACTTGGCTGGATGGAAAGGTAAAAAGAAATGGTATAATGTCCCACACGCATAAGAATGAGCAGAGAACAACGAAACAGTATCCTTACAAATGCGAGTTTGAAGATCATGAAATTTTTTCTCAATCCGGCTCAAGTTGACGCATTGTCGGCCTGCCACTGCTTCTGCTCCATCCTCCTCCGAGCTGCCAAAATCATATCGTCTCTCCGCTTCTGCAACAAGCGCTGTCGCTCCTCTTTGCTCTGCGACCACCCGCTCGTCGATTTCTGCGATGACTGATCACTGGTAGCGTCGGCACTACCATTGATTTTTGAGCTGAGGTTGTATCGGGAGATCAGATCTTGGCCGTCAGTCTTTAGGGAAGCCCCGGACGTCCAGGAGGGCTGCGCAGCTGCCGGAGAAGCAGTAGTAGAGGGTAGAACGATCGCAGGCTGGAAAGAGGGTGGAGGCTACACACACCATCTCATTAGTATCAATCGCTTCAATAAGAATCGAAACAGGCCCGCGGCGCATCGTCTGCATTCCGCCGGTGATAGACATATAGGGGAACCGCCGACACGTACCATATCCAGTCCACGTCCACTGAGGATTCGCTCCGTAGTCGCTGCAACATTCCCGCCATTGCGCTGCAAGTCCCACATGATCTCGCGAGTACTGAGCTGAGGAAACATCTGAGCTATTTGTTCCACCTGGGCTGGGTCGACGATGTTCCCGCGACCACGGGCGCGGGGCCTCCTGCGTCGGGACTACCGTCGCGCTTAAAGAACCATCTGATAACGAAGAAAGAAACGACTGCTAAAGTGAGCAGCGACGGGATGTTGAGCGATGGTTCTTCCTCGGACATTATTATCGGCTAAATGACTGGTCTGGACGACCCGCGGATAGGACCAAAGTTGATGTATTTGCAAGAGAGACGTGGCTAGGTAAACGCAAGAGATAGTATTAAGTGAAGATAATAATTTAGCACACTGAAAGAATTGTCAGGGTTGACGTTGGAAAACGATTGAATGAAAGTGCCAGGCAATCACTAAATTTCCGGTGATAGTGATGCTCACCCGCAGGGTGGCGGTGGGCAGAATGACGGAACTCGGAGACATCTGACAGTTGTTATTCCGGCCAGCGGAACAGACGGCTTGATTGGCCCGTAAGCAACACAAAATTGGGGACGTCGTGCTTCTATAGAGATATATGTATAATGGAAGTATACCTGCCAGACTCAGCAATCCTTACGGCTGCGAGGATATTCCAAAGTCATCCTCAAGGGACGACTGACTCCCATAATTTACCTATTACTTTGAGGGATTGAAAAAATCATCATTATGCATTCATCATCACCAGGAATCAAAGCAGACTCATCCAAGAATCATGTATATCACCCTAGAAACACCACCTCCGAGATGCAGCATGGCCGATCACGGACGATTTTCCGACCCAGTAAGCCCAAGTACAACTCAAAAACCATATCCCTGAGCAACAATCAAGCCTTTGAATATAGACAGGAGAAAACAAACAGTAGATACCCTCATTATTTCATATCGGCCGGTGTCAAAGCCTGGACCACACTGGTTCCCTCGCTGAACCTCGTCCGGAAGATGCGGTTGGCATTCTGGAACATGCCGTCCTTCAGAGAGACAACAATGAACTGAGAGCCCTTGAAACGGGTCTTGATCAACCGACCAATATTCTGCGTGTGAGACAGATCCAGCGCGGCGTCAACTTCGTCCAGAATATACATTGGCGCAGGCTTGAATTGCAGGAGTGCCATGATCAGTGAAAGGGCAATAAGCGATCTACAAGCGTTTGACATGTCAGCTTCGGCAATTACACATCACAGATGTCAAACTTACCGTTGACCACCAGACAGTTCCGTCAGACTCTGCTTCCACACCTTGCCTAGAGACACCTTGACCTCAAGACCATCGGTGATATCCTTGCCCTCAGGAGGGTCCAATTTAGCAAAACTGCCGGGGAGTAGCTCTGCAAAGATTTGACCAAAGTCACTGTTAACTTTGGTCCAGGTCTTGTGGAGAGCTTCCTTCTTGTATTCGTTCAGGTTGATGATGGTTTCCTCGATCTTGCGCTTATCTCTGATCACAGTCTTCATCATGTTCTTCAGAGCGGCCTCCTTCTTCTCCACGCTATCGATCATGTTCATGACCTTGGGGTTGATCTTCTTCTTCATGCCTTGGAATCGCTCGGTGACATTTCGCAAAGTAGCCTTGCATTCCGCGATGTTCTGGCTCTTGAAATCGTAAGGGGTGTTGGGGCGGCCGAAATTGTCCTTCTCGTCTGCGATCCATTCGTGCTCTTCCTCCATATGTGCAACCGTTTGGGCAGCCGCCTGCTGGTCTTTCTGCAGCTTTTCAAGCTGATGTCCGAGCTTCTGCATCTCAAGGCCCTCTTCGGTGATCCGGGAGTTCTTCGACTTGATTGCCTCCTCGAGTTCACGCAATTCCTCGTCGAAGCCGGTCAGTTTGGCTCTTTCGTCTTCAAGCTGCGCTTGGGCGATATCATGAGCGTCCTAAGGAACGGCATTAGCTCAACGCACACAATACATCGACGTTCTTTTCAAACCTTGACTCGGGCCTGTTCGCGCTTCATAGACTGGATTTCTTCCATCTGAGCTTTCAGCGTATTCTCAGCCTCGGCATACTGCTCCTCTGCCGCCGACAAATCACTGCCAACTTGTTCAGATTCGAGCCTTGAGTTTTGGAGCTCTTTCTGTAGGGCCTTGACTGAATTTGTGTTCTTGGCAAGCTTCTTCTTGAGAGAATCCAGCGTAGTTTGCAATTCCGCCAGCTTGCTATCCTTGTTGTTATTGAACTCACTCATGTCCTTCTCGATCTGCTTGATGTCCTTCATTGCCTCGGTTTGACGAGATTTTGCGTCAGAGATGTCCTTTTTCAGCTGCTCGATGTTTGATTTCATTTCCTCGACAGCATGAATAATCTGTCCCAAAGTCAGAATAGCTTCTAGTCAAATCCCAGTTGGGCAACCCTACCGATGAGGACGAGTTATTGCTGATTTGTTCCTCTGTCAGCTTGATTTCGTGGCTCTTGAGGTCCAACTCCTGTTTGATAGCGCGGACAGTATCGAGTTTCTTTTTCTCCTTCCTCATGGTGTCTTCTAAGGCTGCGAGACGCCGTTCCTTGCTTCTCATTTCCCGTGTAATCTCATTTAGCTTCTGAAGGGTGACAAGAACACCACTGGAATTGGGTGAGCTACCACCAGACAGCGTTCCGGATGGGTCATAGACGTCTCCCTCGAGCGTGACGCTCTTGATTCGGACAGCCGGGTCGAACGTCACTTTCTTGGCGGTATCCGCGTCCTGGCATATCAAGGTATTGCCAAAGACATAGTTCATCGCCGCCGTGACTTCCTCGTCGTAACCGATTAAAGACAGAGCGAGGTCCACTTTGCCCGGCGCGATATTCTGTGCTGCCCCGATCTTCTCCGCAGAAGCTCTGAAAGAGGAGATCTTGTTGAGAGGAATGATTGTCACACGCTTACGCAGTTTGCCATTCTGAAGGAGCTGTGTGCCAGTCTCCGCAGTGTCGACAACGACGTTGTAAAGACGGCCTCCGGCACAAATTTCCAGGGCAGTGGCGGCCTGAATCTTGTCCTTGTCCAAGGTGAAGAGCTGAGCAACCAAGCCCTTGACCTTGGATCGATCGAAATTTGGGTGGGGGTCTGTGTAGGTGAAGTCGACGTTTGCCACTTTTCTCTTGAGCCCGTCGGCTCTCTCGCGCAAATCTCGAATGTCTCTTTGCAGTTCCGACTGCTCTTGGTAGATCTGCTCTTCTTTTCCAGGCTCAAAGCCGAGCCTTGTGAGCTCTGCTTCCAGCTTCTTCGCTTGAGCCCTTAAGCCTTCCAGTTCGTCGAGGAGTCCGGAGTTTTGTTGTTTTGCCTTTTTGGCTCGAGGCTCCTCCTCTTTGATTCTTTTTTCCAGGTGAGCGATCTTAAGCTTGGCCTGCTCTTGTTCGGTTGCCGCTGCACTGGCGCGATTACGGGCATCCTGTAGCTGCCCTTGATACCCACTTTCTTGACCTTCCTTGGATGCAACGCCGGTCTGTAATGTCTGAAGCAGTTCCTCCTTTTGTTCGACTTCGGCCGTCTGGGCGTCGAGTTCAGATTTTGCGGCATCATATTCAGCCTGCAGTTTGTCGTAGATCTCCCTCTTCTCCTTGAGAACTTTCTCAAGGTCCTTGACGGTCTTTTTGACTGTTTCTCGCTTCTCTTGCTCTTCTGAGACGCTGGCGTTCTTAAGGTCCAATTGCGTGGTCAGTCGGACTAATTCGTGCGAATGCGACTTGACCTCGTTCTCTAGAGCCTGGAATTTGCCTCCTTTTCGCAATTCCTTGTCACGAGCAGCTCTGACCCGTTTCACATCCTCTTCCAAGTGGGAGATCTCGTTCTTGAGCTTGGCGGCGTTCTCCTCGAGCGCTTGCATCTTGCGTCCTTTGGTCTCGCATTCCTCGCCCGTCACTCGCAACCGCTCTCCGCTTCGAAGGTAGTCATGAGCAACCACCAGCCGGGTCAGCCGCTCCAGGTCGTTCTGCGTTTGCTGAAAATCAAGGAAAGCTCGCTTCTCAGCTCTAAGTTTCTCCAGCTTAGGCTCAATCTCCTCCTTCAATAAACCTTCGATTTCCCGCAATTTTAATTCCTTCTTGGACATTGTTTTAACCGCCTTCTCCCGTCGATCTTCGAACATACGCGTGCCAGCCGCTTCCTCAATCATAGACAAAATTTCCACGGGCTTCATATTCAAGACCTTTGTAATTCGACCCTGCATGATCAGGAAGTTTGGGTTGTTGATGTTCAGTTGGACACTCTGGAAGAGGTTCTGTACTGTCTGCTGCTGAGCACGATGGCCGTTGATCAGGTATTTACTGGTGCCTCCGAGGACGATCTGGCGAGTAACTGAAATGGTAGCATACTCTTCGAATCCGATTGGCGATTTGGCGGTATCCCGGTTATCGAAGACAATTGTCACACTAGCCTTGGTGACACCAGCCTGACCTCGCTTGTAAATGAGATCCTGAAGGTTTTGCGCACGAACGGTTGACATATTCGTAATTCCCAAAACGAAACAGATGGCATCCAGGATATTCGATTTACCACTGCCGTTGAGCCCAGTGATGGAGTTGAATGACTCGTCCCTGCGCATAACGGTCAGCTCCTTTCCAGCGGTTGTGGCACAAAATCATGAATATTCAAAAATAGCCGTAGACGACAGCCTACAATCCATAGAGCGATCACAAAAGAAGCCCATACCACCCTGAGATAACTGTACGCACAGCGTACGATTTGAAGCCCTGCCAGCGACCAAGTCAGCCATAAACGACGGTGTTTAATTCATCGATCTTGATAGAAAAAACTCACATCAATGACAATCTCTGTGACCCTCATGTTTGCGACTTCGATCCAGCCTCAAGAACTAGATCCTAAGCGCATGGGATGGTGATAGCGAAGGACAGTTTGCGACCAAGCAGCCGTTGATCTGAGCAAACGAAGACTCCCGACTGTTTTCGCGCCGGCGGTGTTTGGCCGACCGTAGCCATGTTTATGGTTTGCTAATATAGGGATAGCGTGGATTACTTTGATGATGTAAGCTTTGGAGGGGGTGGATTAGATCACATGATCAGACTGGTAGTGGCTCCTCTGCTGTTCCCAAAGAGTACTCTCAAATGATCAGAAGGTGTATAAGTCAAAATGATTGAAGAGAATGTTATTGATTGTTTCTCGCTCTGCATGTCCTAAATGTGATAGTTCTACTGTACTAATCTTGATCATCCAACCCATAATCAGCACTCTGATGATTCCATCTGTATATCTTCCCGCACCCCTTTGAACTATGTGTTGTCGCACCCAAAGTCAGCCCTTCATCATTTAATGCCATTAGTGCTATTTACTCCTAGTAAGATAGCAATTGTTTGATCCATTCTCAGAGTCTAGAGGGGTCTCAAAGTATCTTCTAGGGGAAGAAATGGCGGTATTTTTTCATTTCTCCTATCGATCTCAGCATGCCTTGTTACCAAAGGCCTTTTCTAATGTAGTAAGGGAAACTACCTTAACTACAGTACCGATGCAACCCCAAGTGAATGACAAATAGATTCTCTTACTGCTTAACATTAGGAGTCAGGTTACCAGTTATGCGCACGAATGCTCTGTTCCCAACTCCCGAGGTTCTCGCGGAGAGATTTCGGACACTTACAAACCCTCATGTTTGTCCTTGGCGCATCTGCTGATGAGCAGATTATTGATGAGCAGATTATACCTTATGATCATGAAGGGTTATAAAGGCTCCAGAATGTCTGAAGGAGAATGTCTCTTCTCTTTAGATTAATTCCTGTTATCTTTAAAACTCTCTGTAGTATCTCTTATACTCGCTCTTCAACTTCACCAAAATGTCAAAGATACACTACATCCAGAATATGTTCCAGACCAAGGACTTTGTTGACCGCTACAAGTACACCGAAAAGCTCACTGGGCTATATGCTCAGACCTTGGTTGACTACTCTGGCGTGGCTAATACCAGCCAGAAGCCGCTGGTTATCCTTGACAATGCCTGTGGGATTGGAGCTGTCTCCAGCGTACTCAACCGCACACTTGATGATGAAGCAAAGAAATCTTGGAAATTGACCTGCGGTGATCTGTCAGAAGGCATGTTGGGATACACCAAGCAGAGGCTTGAAGATGAACGATGGGTCAATGCTGAAACGAAGGTCGTGAATGCGCTAGACACTGGGCTTCCAGATGCGCATTCTACGCACGTTTTTGTCTCTTTTGGTATGCTTTTCCAACTAAACACTCAGATCCAGAGTTATGTAGGCATGCTGACAGTCGCGATCTTCAACTAGGCTTCCAGAGCTTCCCAGACGCCAACGCCGCCCTGAAAGGTAATTGACCTCCTGTCAGACATAAAAGGAACCTGTCTAATGAATGATGCTAGAGTGTTTCAGGATCCTCGCATCCGGAGGTATACTCGCAACCTCAACATGGCAGAGATGTATGTGACATTGAGTACATTCACCCTCGAAAGCAAACACTGACTATAAGTGCAACGAATAGTCACCTGGATACCAATCATGAAAGCCGCCATTGAGACCATGCCCGGAAATCTCCCATTCCCAACACAGAAAGAGTTCCTCGCCCTTCACAGTACCGGCTGGGACTCAGAATCCTACATCCAGACTGAATTGGAGAAGGTAGGATTCCGAGACGTCAAAGTCACCCCTGTGCCGAAAGAGACGTCCATGCCTATCGACGAATTCCTCGAAGTCTGCATGATGATAATCCCTTACCTGCTTCCCAAATTCTGGACTGAGGAACAGCGAGAGTCGCACGAGAAGGATGTTCCAATGGTGCTGCGGCAATATCTGCAAGACAACTATGGGGCGAGTGGACAGGTTCCTCTGGAGGCAGTGGCTCTCATCACAACGGCCATCAAGTCCTAGCACAAACTAAGCAGCTTCGACTCAAGAGAAGGTCCAGGATGACTAGGGACCCACGGGCCACGTGTATGTGGTAACCGGGCATGGCATCTGTAATTGAGTGACTATAATAAGGAGCAAGACCCGGATTTTTAATGATTGAAGGCGTCACTTCATAGTTTCAATGTCTACACTGACAAAATTACCATGAAAAGAGATCAATGTCAGATATCCCAAGTTCCCATAGAAGCCACAAAAGGCCGGAAAACACCTGACTGCTCGGGAGTAGAACACCGGCTACAACACCTGAACCGCATCAGAGAAATTTGGTAGTCAACCCAACGCCGTTGCTTATACAACATTCCACCAGAAATCATGAAGCTTGTTGAGGAAATCCAAGAGGGCGCGCAAGACCCCTGTCGTGATCCAGTCTGTTGTCCAGGTCCTCGTAGCGAAGAATAAACTCTCGCTGTTGATGTCATGTGGTTAGCTTTCCAGGATGGATTCGAAAACCGGGCCATGAATACATACCCGAATCTTCTTCCAGGTAGTGGGATCCCAAATCAGATAGACGCCACGTTCGCTGACGCGAGGTTCAACATCCACAGGACCGGGATACGTCTCGTCGCGTGTAAGCCAGCATCTTTCAATCTTATGATATCTCCACTTGCGGCCCATCAACTCTTCTGCAGCTAGCTCTTGCATAATATCACGAGGCATGCTGTAGAAGATGTAAAACAATGTCTCATCGCTGAAGCTGGGTATACGGGTCTGTAGAGGCTGGATATTGGCAACACTGTAACATGCAGGTAAGGAGAAATTTTGTTCCATAGGAACGGCCGACATCGATGCAACGAAAGGTGACGCAAAAGAGGTGTGAAGGGGCCTTCGAAGCACAGATGTTAGTAAAGCAAAGGAAAAGCTTCTGTGCAATAACAGCAACAACGTACTCAGGCTGATTCAAATCCAAACCGAGAGTCATCAGATCTTGACCCACTGCAAGACTCGCGACATCGGGACTGTCACTGTGGATCATCCGGAGCAAGCCTGCGAGTCCAAACCTGTCGAGCTCGCTCATCTGAGCAAGTGGTGGCTGCTCAGTGCTTCGCGCAGCTGCAGCGACATCTTGTGCTTCGCCGGCCGCAGCCTGCGGTTGCTGCGCCTGCTGTTGCTCTGTGAAATTACGCTGATTCGCCATTGTAGTAACGTTCAAGTCCTGCATACCGAATTTAGCAAAGGAATGTGGATGGGCGCGAGTTGCAGAGACTCCTAACCTCCTTTTCCGATCCAGGAACTCCATTTGCTCCTTGGTTAACGGGTGAGCGTGAGGTTCCGATGGCTGAGAAAGCGATCAGCACCCTGTTCGCCGTCGGGGAAAAATTAATAAACATACCTGTCGACCCCGCATTTGTAGGCGACATCATTCTCGAAGTATCCTGTCCATTGATCGACCCTCCAATTATGGTGCGATTTTGAGCAGACTGGTTCTGGTTTGCGCCAGTGAAAGGCATTGTGCCGCCAAAATTACCGAGTCCAGCACTTTGCATCAGAGACTCTCTGCGATCTTGGCCGAGATCCGCAGCGACGTTACGTCCCAGAGGGGGGAACTCGTCAATGTTGCCTGTCTGTGGCTGTCCAGAACCTCCTAATTGACCACTGATACCCTGTCCACCATTTCGAAAGTCGTCTAAACGATTTGCGAATTGAGCACCAGAGGGAAATACATCTTCGTGCGATGGCTGAGATTGTTGTTGCGGATGATGCGACTGTGTCTGAGGGGCGCGTGAGGGTGCTTGGGATGTCGGGTGCTGCTGCCTCTGCGGAGTCTGCTGCAAGGCACGCTGACCCCACACTAGCCCTGGGTTTGGAGTCTGAGATTGCTGAGGCGTTCCTGATAGCGAAGGGAAGTCTCTGCGGGAACAAAGGTTAGTGGTAGGAATCAAAAGGGAAAAAAGGTTGTGCTGCAAATTCGACAACACTGAAGGCCAGTCTAGAGGGCGGAAAAGAAAGTCACACATACGAGAGATCAAGAGGCGTAGCAGGCTGCGATCCCCCACTAAGGCTTTGCGCAAATGTCCCCATAGCTCCAACGTTGCGCTGCTGATTTCCTTGTAGTCCTGGTGTCCCGCTAACAGGTAAGTTGAAATTCCAGTTGGCGCCGCTCCCTGCCGACACTCCTGGTCAGCAATAATTCATGCCATACAGCTTCAGGATGTAGCAATATGGATTCGCACCGAGTTTTCCGTTAGGCAAGCGCGCCGAGGCCAGTGTCGCGTTTCGAGCCTGTGCTTGTTGCTGTGCGGGGAAACCAGACATGCCTCTCAGAGGCTGTGGGCCGGGTCCTGAAGAGAAGTAATGGTTGATCAGCGCAAACGTAACAAAACAGTGGATCGAAAGCGACGGCGCGATCTCTAGTAGACAGGCCCAGAGGGCTAGCCAGATGGCTCGTCCGTCCATGGCGTTCAAAGTCTTGAATATGATCGAGGGTGGACGTAGTGTGGGAAGACGACAATTGGATCATGAAAATCACTGAGGAAATTCTCATCTTCACCAAGCACCGTGGGTCTACATCTCTGACGCCGAGAAGCTGATACATGAAAGGGATTCATCGCACAAAGTGACCAGTCGGTGTTGCTATAGCGGAGCAAGACCACAAATAGCAGAAACTCTAGAGAGAAAGAAACCAATGCACACTCACCTGGCCTGTTCATAATAGTGTCTGACCCTCAAGGAGTAATCAGTGTAGTGAAAGGTGTGTAAGAGGAAATGGAGCAAGGGATCATGAAAGTTTAGAGAGAGTAGTTAAACAATAGTGTTGCTTCACCTCAGTCCTCATGCGGCGACTACTTCTCTGTTACTGGAAGGTGGAGTGGCTACAAACGCGCGCTTCTTCTGAAGGGGACGCACGGACCATTAGTACTAACCGCCTAATTTATTGTCAGTTCGGAGAGGTTTTCTGCAGATTTTGATAACCAAAAAAGGCGGTGTATGGACTGATTAGTTTACTAAATTTCTATGATAGCAAAGAGGGTGTGATATGTTGACTATGCTATGAGAAGACTCCAGATCCTCTCATTTCTTGCTGGAAGCAATTGTGATATACGAGAATTGGTTGGTGCTGGCTATCAACTCCAATCAACAAACACCTAAACCTTTAAGCCGGCTACCTCAGGATTAAATTGATGCTACATATAATAGTAATCAAAATCCATTCCCTGTACGCTTAAGACACTAGATACTGTCGTACAGAGTGTAGCACATATTTCCTCGCTGTCAACGGGGCGGCTAATACCACGTGACTCTTTCGCGGAGGTCCACTCCTGCATTTGAATTCAACGCCGCAAAAAGCTCATCTTACGGGTCTCCCTTCAAGGAGTGACTGGCAGCCAACTTCGTTCAATATGCATCGCCAGTCGGTCGCACGGCTTACTCGCCAGTGCCATGGCCTTCCGCTGGTCGAACTGCCCCCTCCTTACCTCGCACCGTCGCTCCATTTTTCCTTGATCCGAACCATCCGAACCCCGGTCCAGTGCTCATCTTTTTCCTCGACCGCCGTCGTCGCTGGTCGTGGACGTGACTTGAACAAGACCCGCGGTGTCTCAGCTATTCACCGTACAGGCCCCAGATTCAAGTTGGGCGTGTCAAAGTACCCATTGCCGAAGCCTGTCTCCCCCGCGGCGCTCGAGAAGCGTGAAGCGACCCCGGATCACGGACTCTGGGGGTTCTTCCCCAGAGATAGGTCGGCACTGAGCACGCCAGAATATGATATTGCTCACGGTTCGTATTCACCCACCTGGTTCTCACCTTTATTCCTGGTCGACATAGGTTTTGCTAATTGTTGGCTCATCAACTAGGCCGTTCCTGGTCCATCCAAGAACTTCGGGAGAAGTCGTGGGAAGACCTTCACTGTCTCTGGTGGGTCTGTGTCAAGGAGCGTAATCGCATAGCTACGTCCAACCTCGAGAGACAGCGTTTGAAGGCGGGTTACGGAGAATGGGAAGCTAGTGAAAGAGATAGAACCGTGAGTTTCTCATTCCTTTCCGAGAACAGACCTTCATATTTTCTTCTTGCCTGCAAATTGGCTCTGGATCTACTGGGTGCTCAATGGATTGGATCCACCTGTGCTGATGCGCTAAATATCATTCTTCGGAGCACGTCTCGCTAATCTTGATGATAGATCCGCGTTACACAGAATGGCATCAAACACGTTCTGCGCGAAAGGTGGTACGCTTGGGAAGATGCGAAGCGACTTTACAAGAACGGATATCGCCCACAAGACGAGGAGAATCAGGAGTAGGTAGTAATAACTGGCAGCAGCTCATGCAATAACTTCATGTTGTCTGGACATGGTTTGCACATCAGGGACATCCCACATGTACTATATCGGAGAGTTGTACTGTTTTCTATAAATCGGTCTTTGTTTATTCCTTGGGTTGCGAAAAGGTCTTTGTATATTTTCTCAGGCCATCAATTAATAAACATCCAAGCAAACATTTGTACTTGCCATCTAGTCCACTTAAACGAATGTTTGCGTTAGCACAGTGCCAATTTCCGTAGCGCCAATAGTTCAGGTCCCGGGCGTCTGTAGGTAGGTTATTTTAAGTTGTTATGGCTTGAAGTTTGGGCGCTGTTGAAAAGGGGGATACTCAGGACTCAGGAGGTCAGTATTCTATGTAATTTGATCAATCATCAATTAAATTTTCAATAGTCGTGGGTCTCATATTCCAAGCTCATTTAATATGAAGACAGCGAGCGGCGTACTTATCCTCACCCCCTTGTGGGCCCAATCCCATCTGCTGGTCCTTCGTTGATGATCCGCGGGGGCTTTCCAGCACACTAGCTCCTCGACCACCACGACTAAACTATCTGCTAACTACAAACTCACCGCAACATTCAGTGTCTCCGTATCCTTTCTCTCTTCAAATTTATCTTCTCTCAATCTCACGCGATTTCCACTCCTCCTTGCTTATTTTACTGTTATTGTTTTGCACCCCTTCCGACCATTCATCATGGAAGAGATCGCCCCCGAGTATGATGTTGTGGTGCTCGGCACTGGTATGTATTACCCCGCCGTTTGACAGCTGTAGTGCTAACGCCCCTCGCAGGGTTGACGGAATGTGTGCTTTCTGGGTACGGACTTTGATAAGATTCATCTTCTGGGCCTAAAGAATAGCTTGTTGATATTGTGTGCAGTGTTCTCAGTGTCAAGGGTAACAAGGTGCTCCACATTGATCGCAACGATCACTACGGAGGGTAAGAACTGGGGTAGCTATCCGATCATCCACGTCCCATCATACTGACACAAATTTTAGAGAAGCTGCTTCCGTGAACATTGAAACTGCAAGTCATCGCTCAGTTAGTTCATTTTAACATCTGCTGATGTCTTGTTTGTCCTGCAGCTATTCAAGAAATACGGCAATGTCCGCCCCGGCGAAGAACCCTGGAAGAAGTATGGACGAGTCAACGATTGGAATATTGATCTGGTCCCAAAGCTGCTGATGGCAAACGGTGAACTCACAAATATTTTGGTTTCTACGGACGTGACGAGATACCTTGAATTCAAACAGATTGCTGGCAGCTATGTCCAGCAAGGAAAGGGCCCCAAAGCTACTGTGGCCAAGGTGCCATCGGATGCTGGTGAAGCTCTACGTTCATCCCTCATGGGCATGTTCGAGAAGAGAAGAGCTAAGAAGTTCCTGGAGTGGGTTGGTGAATTCAAGGAAGACGACCCCTCTACTCACCAGGGTTTGTCTCTGCGATGTAGCATTTATTTCAATTGCTAATGTGAAGGGCTCAGGTCTGAACGTCGCTCAGTGCACAATGAAGGAGGTTTATGACAAGTTCGGACTCGAGGACAACACCCGCGACTTTGTCGGTCACTCCATGGCGCTCTATCCGTCTGATGAGTACATCACAACACCTGGCATGGCCGTCGAGACCATCCATCGTATTCGACTGTACGTCAATTCCATGGCCCGGTACGGAAAGTCCCCATACATCTACCCTCTCTATGGTCTGGGTGAGCTCCCCCAGGGATTTGCTCGTCTGTCTGCCATTTACGGTGGCACCTACATGCTCAACACCAGCGTCGACGAGGTTCTATACGACGAGAGCGGCAAGGTCTCTGGAATCAAGGCAACCATGAAGGATCGCGAGGACAATAGTGAGGCCATGAAGTTCACCACCAAGACAAAGAAGATCATCGCGGACCCATCTTACTTCCCTAACAAGGTCCGGGTCACTGGCTATCTCTTGAAGGCCATCTGCATCCTGAAGCACCCCATTGAAAAGACCGACGGCAGCGATTCGCTGCAGCTGATTATTCCTCAGTCTCAGGTTGGAAGGAAGCACGGTGAGTGGCCCTAGTTGGAGTCTGTTGGATTCAAGACTTTACTGATCAGAATCAGACATTTACATTGCCATGGTGTCATCCGCCCACAATGTCTGTCCCAAGGGCTACTACATCGCCATTGTCTCTACTATTGCTGAGACTGATGCCAACCACCACCTGGAGCTGGAGCCCGGATTCGATCGTCTGGGCCAGATTGAAGAGAAGTTCTTTGGCCCTCCCATTCCTCTCTACGAACCTTTGGAGAGCGGCGAGAAGGACAACATCTTCATTTCCAAGAGCTACGATGCTACCTCCCACTTTGAGACGACAACAGGTATGACATCAGTGAACATTTCCGCCGTGTCATAGTTGCTAATGGTCAAAACAGACGACGTGCGGGACCTTTACAAGCGGGCCACAGGCGAAGAGCTAGTTGTTGAGGGTCTTCGGGAGGACCAGAGACTTGCGGAGGACTAGAAGTGAGGGTTCTTTAGCCCAGCATGAAGCTTCAATAATATAGTGTCGTCTGTGGATGTTGCTGAATTGGGCAGTAATATCTTTTGGATTCCTGTTCACCATTGCCATCCACCATGAACCATTAGCATTCTGGAACGCACACTCGCTCTGTTTCTGGCCGTTTTGACAGGCTGTGGTAGTGCACACCCGGTATAGGTTGAATTCAGCAGGGTCTTGCGGGCAAATTCTTGGTCATAATTGCTGTCAATAGGCTGGAAATTGAATTGGTTATAATACTTCAGTCTCGCAGTAAGGAGATTGATTCTCCTCAGATCCAAGTTTCATGGCCCCAGTCTATCTCTAGCACACCGGAATTCCGATGATAGAACAGAATCCTAACAAGGTATCTATACAAGTCTGGGACAGAATGCAGAACGCACATCACATCTTCCCGCTGGACTCCGGGTCCGTATTAGCCTTCTCATGCTCCCCCAGCACGCAGAGATCCCCATTATCGGCTCTCGAGATCTCGGCACGCAAAAGCGCCAACCGGCGCCCCGTATGGATAACTTGACATACCAGTCGTATCTCCGTGTTCACCGGCACGGGGCGCAGATAAGTGACCTTGAGATTTCGACTAACACCACCGAGGGAGAAGAAACCTGGTTTCGAGATGCCCAGAAGGATAGCGGTGGAGAGGACATCGATGATCGTGGCGGCGCACCCGCCGTGCAGATTACCCAAGAAGTTGCACAATTTAGGTGCTACGGTCAGAAGGTATGAGACTTGTGCTGGGGGGCCACGGGTAGCGGATTCGAAGCGGAGATTGCAGGCGCGGGGATCAAAGTCCCAGTGCTGGACGCTTGGTTAGACTTCCATCTGGGGGTTATTGAGAAGTGAGGGTCGTACTATACCTCCTGATCATGTTGGCCCATCCGTGCGGAGTACTCGTAGACGAGCTCCTCGAATTGATCCAGGCTTCTGGATGGTCTTTTAATTGATGATGAGGCCATGGTTCCAAGCCTGACGATGAATGTTATACTGAGAAACGAGATTATGCGAGGAGATTGTGCTGATTCCTTTTATTCATACGAGAGTCTTCTCTGGCTACGAGGCTAGCTTGGATGTCCAACAGACGAGGGGGATGGTGGATAGCCGAGGTTGGCGGTCGTAGTCAGTTGGTCTTGAAGGGTTCTCACGCATTGAGTGTCACTTGAGAGGACCATTGGGATATATATCACAGACATCTGCTTACTCTTCTCAGCAACTATGGCACCTATGCACTTTCTTCGCTGTCCGTCATTCAATGGCAACCAAGTACGCCGTAGGACCCCCCGTGTACACTGTAGTGTCATGTACCAAGCATGCATGTCGTTTATACTCGGAGAACTTGATCATTCAGGTGCTCGATGGGTGAATTTGAAATCATCTGAAAGGTTGGGTTAATCATAATAGCTCTAACAATGTCGGGTTTTCTCCTAGAATAATGTTTTTGCTCAAGATGGTTTGGCATTCAATACTCCTGTGGCACAGAGAGATTCACCTGATCTCGCGTCACGCGTTTTACCTAAACCACGATATCATGGTTGTCGTCGCGGCAAGAGGATTTGAGATCTATTGAGATATACTCAATTGACCACATCATAATACAGTGCGTACAATCCAGAATATTGACCACGTACGTAGGTGTGTATCTCACCGTTTTTATGTTGCTTACCTCTAATATGGATATGCCCACCTAGGTGATTCGGTCGCGATTCCGTCCGAAAGCTTTGTCCGCCTAAGCGGTCTATTCTTGGTTTTGATGTGTCGCATGGGCATCAGCACCAGCCATTGATCTTGGACAAAGCTCAATGTCTGTCCAACGCTTGAGGATATTTTACTTCGACCAATGCCTGAAAGATAGTAGCCTACATCGCAACAGTTTCGCCCTCCCTTCCCTCGATTTTGACCTCCGTTCCAAACACTACCGAAGACTTGACATCACGAAATGACCAACCCACGAGCGGCGAAGAGGAGGAGGTTGTCCGACATACAGTCTGCAGACCAGGATGGTGATATTCAAATGCGAGATGACGGTCAGGATCTTCACTCGGTTGCATCGCCACTGACAGGGCAGGGCGGATCGTCCACTGCCTCGAAAACATCTCGACAACAACCCTCAAGGGCTGAGCCAGATGCGGTTGAGGGCACAGCCATGAATGGGGCGGGTGACAACTCGGCGAACGTGGAGACTCCTTCACGGAGTGGCCTTCGGTCGAGCGGACGTCAACGGAAGCCACCGCAGAGATACGAGGAAGAAGTTCTCAACACTCCGCCGTCAGTGAAGAGAACCAGATCGTCTGTCGGACCATCTGAGCGAACGCTACGAAGCACAAGGAGAAGTAGATTGGTGCCGGGGACGGAAGAGGCTGAGGAGAACTCAGCGCAGCCTCAGAAGGGAGGACTAGCCAGAACGAGGTCTAAGAGAGCTTCCGTCAGATACGCTCCCACAGAGGAACATGAAGAAGAAGATCAACTTGAGAGCCGAGAACAGTCGCTACAGTCTCCGACCCCAGAGGATTATCAAGATGGATTGGACGACCTTGTTTCGATGCAACTACAGCAAGATATCACTCACCAGGATGCGACCGAGAAAGACGACAGTATGGTTACGTCCGATCCTCTGCCTGACTATGCAGAACGCTTCCAGAGGCTGGTTCAGGGAGGCCTTAACGAAGAACTACGGCTTCTGACAAAGGTGCTTCTCGAAAAGCTCAATGGAAAGCAGCTCATTCCGTTGAAAGGGCTAGAGAATGAATACACCAAGGTGCGTCAGCTCATTGAGCAGACCGTCACCGCTGGCGAAGGTAACTCAATGCTGCTCCTTGGGTCTCGTGGCTGCGGCAAAACCGCCATTGTGGAGACGATAATATCGTCGCTGAAGAAAGAGCACATGAATGAATTTCATGTGGTTCGACTCAACGGCTTCCTACACACAGACGATCGACTTGCGCTGCGGGAGATGTGGCGCCAACTCGGTCGTGAGACCAACACCGAAGAAGAGGCAGGCAAAGTCAGTACCTACGCCGACACCATGGCAACTCTACTTGCTCTCCTGTCTCATCCGGAGGAATTGTTCGGTCCTTCTGGAAACCCGAAGGCCGTCACGGCGGCCAAGTCCATCATCATCATTCTTGATGAATTTGACCTGTTCGCGACTCATCCCCGACAGACCTTGCTCTACAATTTATTTGACATCGCACAAGCTCGCAAAGCTCCAATAGCTGTGCTGGGACTTACCACGAAAGTCGATGTGACCGAGATGTTGGAAAAGCGTGTCAAGAGTCGGTTCAGTCATCGATATGTCTACGTTCCACTTCCCAGAAGCTTCGAAACTTTCTCGGGAATCTGTTTTGCGGCGTTGAACTTGGAGGACAATGAGAAGCAATGCTTTTTTGACGGTGTCGCACCCGGGAAGGGAAACACACTATTGGAGGGGTGGAGGACATATCTACAGGTATACTCTTTTCTGGGTTGAGTCCGCGTGTCAGAAGACACTAACTCACATCTAATAGGCACTCTGGGCCGACGAATCGTTCAACCATCATCTGCAGAGGATATACCATCAGACAAAATCCGTCAAAGAATTCTTCTCAAGTGCCCTACTGGCGATGACTGAGTTGCACTACAGCACTTACGACTCCTCATTCGAAATCCCGACACCCAAGACCTTCAGCAACCAGGCTTTATCGTGCCCGGATCCTGCTCCTCTTCCCTTCTCTACGTCCACAACTATCTCTGCAAGCCCGTCATCTCTTCCGCTCTCGCTCCTGCTGGCCGCGACCCGTCTGACAGCGCTGTACGACCCTGGCGTCGAAGCCGGTCAGCCTCAGAATCTAGCCCCACTTGCACTGTCCTTCCCCGCAGCATATGCGGAATATGTCCGACTGTTGACATCTGCTAAGACATCTGCTTCGGTATCTGGCGCGACCGTCACTCCTGGACGTGTCTGGGGTCGAGATGTGGCGCGCGAAGCGTGGGAAAAGCTAGTCAGCTGGGGGTTAATCAACCCTGTCGGCGGGGGAAGTGGGACTGCAGATGGACGGATGTTCCGTGTCGAAGTCAGCTTCGAGGAGGTGGTTGCCATGGCGGGATCGGGTGGCTCACTAGGGAAATGGTGGCGTGAGTGACACCGTCTGTTGTCACTTGCCACGTTTGTGAAACCACCAAGCTTAACGACTGTCGTGTGGTGTATGGCGTGGATGACAAGCACCATATCACATGGCGCCATGTTGCGGGGACAGGTTGAAGCCAATCACAGGGTATTTGGGGGCATCTCGTCATCAAGATGGTTCAGATAATCTGCAACAATTAAACAAGTCCAACGTCCATGCAATACAGCTCGGAAAACCCCCAAGCGACAACCCGAGAACTTTTACCTCGGCGCTACTGAGATACGAGTTAGTGCCAGTATGTCTTCAGTCAGTAATCTATCTAGTCTAGACGCTGCGTCTTTGAATCGACAGCTTCTACTCCACAGTCTAGCCCAATGTTTATATGATGATCAGCGCCACTCTCGGCCAAAAACGTGCAGGACTGCATACTATGTTCTTTGAGTGATAGTCCACAGATCGAATAAGATACTAGTGATATTCCTTCTGGTTGCCCAAGGCACCTGACCAGACGGAATGAGTGCCATTCTGCTTTCTCTCTGAACTATACCCCGAGTTTATGGTATGTTGTCGAGGGCTAAAGCAAGACTATGTGAAGAAGGGACGCGGATGTGGCATTAAACACCATACAGACGAGGTTGAAGCTGAATCCTTAATCTACGTAGAGATCGTGGCCGAACTGGGAAGGCACACCATACGCGGGCTGGGTCTGCCACAATACGCTTGTCTTCACCAGGATCATATACAGTGGGATGCAAAAAGTATTCGACCACCCCTACCTTACCGCCTACTATTCTGCTGGCAAAAAACCACGAAACGCGTACATATCCATTACTTCCATAGGATATCAACAACCAAAATGGGCCGTAAAGGCAAAGAATAACTGGGTGGAGGCAGTTATAGAGGCAGATAGTTGGTATACAAAATATTAGTTGTAATGGAAACAAACTCCTTCCTAATTAGGTCTAGCTAATAGTAGGCGGTAAGGTAGGGGTCGTCGAATACCTTTTGCACCTCACTGTATCCTATAATCTAATCCATCTATGTAATACTCCGTATATTTTACCTGAAGAATGCTATCAATCTAAAACCGGGGAGAGCGTGACTCGCACTCGATACCCAACGTAGCACTCCATAATCGAATTGAAACAGCGGTACAGAGTACGTATGCGCGTGGCATAGAATCAACAGATCGTCGGCAGCGGCGGCACGTTGAAGATCACCCTAGACAATCCAGGAAAGGCATAGCCCTATCTCCGCAAAAGTCCGAAGGAAGACAACTTCAAATCCCGTTCTCGCGACCATCAATCAAGGGGAATAGTGTACGGGATACTGGGGACGGTATACTCCGTAGATATATCCCCTGGCATCCGCAGCGCGTCACGAGTCATCCAGTCAGGCTATCTATGACGAAGCTGACCTGCATTCTGCAGGAGTCAACTGAAATTGGATGTCACAGTCTCCTTGAGAGCAGGCTAACGGCCCAGTCCAGGGGTCCAGGACTACCGCCCCCCCTCCTCTTCCCTTGAATATTGCAGTCTATCGCGAATCGGGCGAATCAGGATCCCGCGTGGCCAGACACTAATGCACGCAATCACAGCGGAGTGTACGGAGGTCAAGTTTGATGCCATGACTACCAAGACTTTGCGCCTATGCGCAAATATACTGAGTTAACCATCGCAGATGGGAAGTTCGGATGCTGGGGAGGAGGTTCAGCTATCGGAGCTGTACTCTGTAGCACTTTCAGGAGAGCTGGGATGGGTGTAGTCGCGATTCCGGAGATGAGATTGGGGAGCGAATCCTTACTGTTGGACTGTAGCTTCCGCTCCTGGCGCTCTTTTGATTGGTCTGCGGCGGACCTTTGTACTAGTGTGGCGGTAACATCGATTCTTCAAGGCTCATGTAGCTCGTCGTGTTCGTAGAATGGACTTTGAAGCATTAAGATATTGACCCTGCGGTTTGAAACACACAAAGTACACTTGCAGAGTATTTGAGAGAAACATCGAGAGCGAGCTTGGCGATGGTGGTCGGCAGATGAGTTAACGACGCCTGGAATGGTTCGATCAGCATACACCTAGGCGTGCTATATAATAGCTTAGGGGCAATCTGCATGACTCAGATGTAGATTAAGTGCAGCTGAAACTATAGTCCTTGACATCTAAGCTACTAGAGGCACTGAGCGGTAGATAGAGCTGCCAGTGCATTCATTATCTGACGGTCAACCGGCGCTCTTTGCATCCTTGAGTGTGGTACAGAGGCAAATATCTCCAAGCTCCTTCACCTTCTGCAGGTGTGTGATGTGTATAACTTCCCAGCCATGTGCAACGAGAGAGGAATGTACACTAGGCCCAGATTGGTATGTCGAGATGAGGCCGGTAGCGTGGAAGAAGTTTGAGTGGGGCAGTTGATCGGCCCAGAATTCTGATTTGCCCTCGAGGCTGTTTTCGCGTGGGCTACAAGGATCAGTAGTTTTGGACTTTCTTTTTTCACCCCTTTTTCTATTTCCTCAAATATTGCTGTACACTTATCATTTTCTGAGGTTATCATCCATGCTTTCCTCGCCCCCTTGCTCCTGCAGAAATTCAGGCGTAAGTACAGCGTAAAGGCAGTTTGAGTGTCAAGACTCCTGTATCAGCCGTAATCAACAATACGTACTTGGCTTTGGGTGCAGTTCATCCAGACTTGCCCAATTTTTGGGACACGGAGAAGTCCGTTACCCATAGGATGATGTCAGATACGAGGTAAAATAATAATAATACAAACTGACGGTATGTTTTCCTCGTCTTTGAGACTCTCTAGTGTCTCTCGTCATTTCCAGAATTCGGTAAGCTTCTGTTGCCGCTTTGCCATGTGGATAGACTTGGTAATGGTTACATTGCATGTTGACCACGCTACAGAGGTAATGGCCATACCGTACAGAACGCTCCTGGTATTTTCACTGTTACTGCGTGACATTGCAGAGTTCCGATTTACCGCCTTCCGGAAGATCAGCCACGTGTGTCTCCAGCCAGTGTGTTTTCGGAGATGATCAAAGTCCGCCGGTTTTCCTATCGTCCGACCTTATCATTCGGCGACGGAGAGCCAATTGGGCGTTTGGATCAAGCCCGTATGACCCTTGTTTTTCCCTTGTGTCTTCAAGGAAAGGGATCCAAAATTTGACTTGAATCGCTGATCTTCATATTACCTTGCATTTGTCTTGTTTGATCATTATTGTGGCATTGATCGACAGACGGGGGAAACTGATACGTCAGGTTTACGATCGCGAAGGATTTCTCCGCAATCGCTCAACGACTCTTGACTTTTGAGCCTTGTATCTAGGATTTACGGATGTACTGAGTAGTTATCCTTCATCCCTTACGTCCTGCATATGACCATACATCGACTCATCACACAGTCCCAACCTCTCCACAGCCTCACCACGTAAATAATGTGAGACATCTCGTATCGTTAAGCGAGACCTGGCGCCTCCACTTTCTTCTAATGCGTTCTGGAATCCTTCCCAAAGCCTTCTAGCGCCCCGTCTGATCCTTCTGGAGGAAGTTGTTTGGCGGAGGACATTGGAAACTCCGAAACCAACTAGTGCAATTTATATAGATCATGCCGACCACGGTACGATCTCGTTTCACCGTTCGATATGTTCCATTTCGGATATTGTTCCCTTCTCTTCCAGAAGGATCATGGAATGACGATGTCGTTCTGGCCCATGGACCACTGGAATCCGGCAAGCCCAGTGTTGTGTCCAGTGTCCACATCGGAAACTTGGCAGCGACATCTACATCCCACTACGGTACACCGCTACAATAAAACAATGGGTCAGGGGTAAAACCAAGGCTTTGGATGCGGCAGCGAAGCAGAATGTGCGATATCCACCGATGCTGCCCTATCGCTTGGGGACGAGACCGCTATTCGCATTGTAACTCTGTAGGGATCAGGATTCTGAAGGGAAGCCAGGAACTGAAGCTATAATTCAATGTATCAGGGTACACGCAACAAACAGGCAAGCTCAATGTTTACATTGGTTTTGTCCATAAACAATAGGGCAATTGTATTGCTCGCTAAGCTTGCTGGAGCTACAGTTTATTGCACTAATGATGAAGCCCTCAGATGGAGATACTCCTGCTTCTCTGAACGCCCACTTCTCCTTACAACTTGGTATAGTAGCATAGCAGAATCCGGAAATAATAATCAGATGAAAGTTCTCCCTATTTCTACGGAGTCGTTCCTCCAGAAAGTATACTGATCATAAATGATATCTCCAGTTCTCAGAGATCACCTGTCAACTCTATTACGCAACAAGCTCGCAAGCTCGGTGCTAAACCTTCATCGAACCACGTGGCTATCATAGTTTTTTCGCTTCTTGCCGTCCTGTATACTCCGTAGGCTGTATTCGATTTTCTTTGGATTTCCAGTGTACACTTCCTCGCCGTTTTCTTCTCCACTACGGCGAAGTAACTACTAGTATTATTTTGAGGTAGGTAAGAGGTTTGTTAGCGAGCATCACGCCATCACCGACTGACTGCTGTATTATTGAAGGAGTCACCAACTCCAAGGCGACTCCTTGACCCACAAGTCCACATTCTCACCCACCACCGTAAAGACAAACTTACAAACCAGCCCCATCTGCCCCACCAGTTGGTCGAAGTTACAATCATCGTAAGCGCTATTACATGTGGGGTCATGTTTCATGTTTTCATAACATGATACAGAGACCTGGGGATGCCGAACCCGTTGATTCCTGAAAACTTGGTTGTCTGCTCTGTAAAGTTGGCCTGTTGTATTTGCATGGTGCTGGAATAGGTGTTCTATACTGACATTACGGTTGGGTCGGTGATTTCACATCAATGAGCATTGTCTTCGATCATCCAAAAGTTGTTGAGGTCAAGCTGCATTATGACGATAAATGGTAGTATTAAGGGCCAGGAAGCTAAGGTAGCTTCCTCTCTTGGTTAAATGTGCAGCAACGCAGCAAGCTGCAAGCAGAAAGTAAATAGTGCTCCGAGACGGCTGAGCATAGGTTTCAATGGATACTATCCATGTCATGCTCTCAAAGCGACGTTGGCTTCGGGAGCTTGCATATGCTGGGCTGGAGACAGCGTTCCGTGTGGACGGCGAGTGGTGACACTGCAGGAGCATGGGCATATCGGTCATGGAGTCTGACCTTCTAGACCTGTTTGACTTTGTCTAGAACATGTTCCTTGCCGATAACTGGCCTGATTTGGATGATCTTCCTGCGAGGCTGCCCATATGCACTTCTTAGAATCCAATCGTCGATACTTGACACTTGACAGGTCTACTCCGTATAGTTAGCAATTAGCACTGTGAAGCAGTAATGTAGTCATTGATAATCAACGCAGGTCTTGGCAGCGAGCATCCTTCCAGGACGATCCTTTGACGGTTCCTAAGGCCCTCTGTAAATTTTCATTAGTAGCATGGCAAACTTGTGCAAATAAAGGCCTCGTCCAATCAATGTGAGTGTCTTTGTAGAGGAGCTTCATCGCATTCACCTACATCATATAGTTCAGCTCAGTATGCGGGGTGTTAGTGGAATAATGCAGAAGCTGCAGTTATGGCGAGCTAGTTGTTTGTTACAAGCCATCATCTCAATGGTGATAGAGATGGTTGATAATGGACGATGCGAGTATATACTAGAGTACACTGCCGGACAGTTCATAAGTCTCCTCTCCCTGACGATGATAATCGTTAATTGATCCCTTGACATACTGACGCTGCGCCTCTATTCAACGAGCCCAAGTAATACTCCAGACTCTAGACTCAGCCTTGCCAATACCAACATAGCTAATCCCTGTCAAAGTCGTCTCTCGCGTGGCGTTCAGGGATCTGCGTCCACAATAAACCACAAGAAAACAGTATAGATCTGGATGTGATGCAAACAAAGCACACCGACTTTTATCTTGCTAATCGCAGATGAAACGCAGATAGCAATTCCCTCCCTTGTTCCTAAAGGCTGAGAGTCAAACAACTGGCCTCAGCCGTGTGCTATTTTAGTCCTGTCAATGCCATGGCTTGACCGTATGCAAAACACGGAAAAGGTAAAGACGGACTAGCAAAGGCGAAGACGCATATTTGGAATGCTCGGATATCGGAAACGAGTCTAAGAATCCTTCCATGTGTTTGACACCTGTGTGGCATGGGCTCGTGATCAGTCTTCGTAAAAGGGTGAGCATGAAACAGGCTGACAATGATAATAGAGTTCTCGCCAAAAGACTAGCTCATCGGACCGCAGTTCCTTCCCAAGTTATTATTGTGACAAGTCAGACATTTCCCTGTACAGTTTACGATCAAGAAGGACTCATCACTCAGACTCTAGATTCCTGATGGTCGGGGTCTCACCGCTTGGTCTCCTGATGATATGTCATAATGTCACTGAATAGAAGTGGGACTGGGCGCCAGAGACACGTTTCCAGAAGAGTCTGGTTACGCATACTATACGGAATATGTAGAGCATAAATCTGAAAGGAAGATTGATCGACTCCCCGGTTTTACGTGGTAATGACCATTACCTACCTAACAAACCTGGAGGTTTACTGATCATAATGCAATTGAGTATAGTCTCTAGGCCTACAGGGGCCCCTAGCAGCTACTAAACCTCGCTAAAATCCTTCGATGAACGATATGCCCAAGCCCAAACTCTATCCAGAACATATGAGGCTCATGCCTCATGGCCATGTCAGATTACGGCGATCAGACCTGCAGGCTGCAGGCAGCAGCAGCAGCAGAGGACAGGCGAGTCGGACTCACCACAGATGACACCATGCTGAGCAATCGTGATTGCTTTTGCTAGGACCTACCGACCTCCCAAGGAGCTTTGACTCCAGAAAGCCACTGCCAGGGGTGTGTTTCAATCCGGGGACGTACAGCTTGCGTGGCTGTTTTAGACTTTCTGATGCCTTGAACCAGTGGCTGCCAACTGCTGAATTGATGGACTATCCAAAGATTCCATTTACCAGCTTAGCCGGTCCCTACGGCAATTGGCCGCTTTGACAGTGAGTTTTGACAAGAGATTCATGTTGATGATATCAATGTTTTAGAGGTTTACAAATCAGACTGGTGTACAGAGTAAACCATAATTCGCACTAGATAATAATAAATGGTTTTTATTATTGTGGCGGGCCACGCGGTAAATCTAAAACAATATACCCACTCCCAAGGTTGGTGGGACCCAAGTCAAGCATCTGGGTGATGCCATAGAGCGGTGAGTGCAGGCTACAGAGTTCCTCACTAATTGTCCGATGCAGAGTATGAAGTTTATTGACAGTTCATGTCAATATGATAGAGTCGACTATTTGCATTACTCCTCCAAAGCTATTAATCTGCTGGTTGGAAGGATCCTTGATGCAGGAGGACATAGGGTATCCAGAGTATTTTGGCAAGGATAGGCCGGATATTGATTCGTATCGCTGAAATCGCCATATGTCGGCTCAAAATCGCCAATCACAGGATGCAGTGACTTGGACCCCTTCTCCCATTACGAGAGCGACCCAACTGCAGGTCAAAACGGCCGGCCACGCCAACAAGTTAGCAACAAGATCTAGCCCGCCAATCCGCCAGCGCTTCCTCCACGTGCGTCCACGTGGGACCGCTCGGACGGGTCTTATTCTTGCTCTGCCTCGCGCATGGAGTAGGACATGTAAGAAAAGGGAAGCTACCTACTTGGAAATGTCATGGACGGATGCAAGATACCCAAGATTTGGTTTCTAGGGAGAGGGTGGCTTTATTTCCGCCATTAATTTGTTTCCAGAATACTCCCCGTTCCACTCAGGCAGTAAATACCTACGGCCTCCACAGTTTCCTCCACAGTTTCCTCTATTTCGTCTATATCACGTTATTGGACGGCATTTGAAGGATAGAGAGCCTGCAATATATGAGAACCTAACTGAGTCATTACAATCTTATTCTATTCTGACACCTTGATGGTTCCCGCTCTACAAGTTACTCAGCGAAGAAAATGGCTGAGATTATCATTCCTCAACCGTGAACTTTTTGCCGTGAACTCATAATGAATGCAAAACACCACAAAGCATATACCTCTCTACGTGCTGTATCAGCGTCAGTTTCCAGTTGTTCATTGATGTAGATGCTCAAGCCTCAACGCATCTCCACCTTACAATTGTCTGTTTGATGGCCTGAGGCTCACTGTTGATCTGCGATAGATAAATGCTTGGTTTGCTTGGAAGGAAATTGGATTCCACGTGGAAGTGGATGGAGGACCCCTGAAACCCTGAGTACCTGGCCAACCTCCAAGTCGCAGGTTATCAAGACCTCTGTAGTCCGTATCACTTAAGCAGCAGCTTTGTGGTGTCTATTGCCGTTGAAGGTTTTTGATGCCTACGATCAGTGGCCACCAAACAACCTCAATCAAAGACAAGGTACAAGGGTCTCTCAATGAGGGATGAAACTCTGTAAGTACTATCAGAAAATCGGTCTTGGGATTGTGATTGGTGAACACTCCCAGTTTTCCCAGGTTGTGTGGCTCGGGGACTAGCCACCTGGGCATGCAACTAGAGTAATTTTAGGCAAGAGCCTTGATTGTCAGGTTGCCTATAGGCTACTCTGATTGGTTGAATCTCAAGGGGGATTTCCTGCTGGACTGCTAATGACTCAACAACCGCTGATCAATACTGGATTGGACCGTATCCTGAATTTCCCAGGTATCAAATTTGGAAGGTGAGTGCGCTAGACCTGTACTCTGATTAGTTGTCACTGTAGTGGGCAGTAACTTGGCGTCCCCAGAAGTCGGCATCTATCCGCTCTTCGTTCGGTCTCGCCGGGGACATCTCAGTGGTTACCATACAAATGCCCTGGTTGGTGAGCAGTCAGGGTGCGTCGCGGGCCACGTTTTACTTTGCTGGAAAGACGAAGCATTTGTGACAGTGGAAAGAACCAAAAGAATGATTCCAAATAATACAAAGTATTCAAGCTCCGGGGAGTACGATCATACCTATATCAAGTTAGACTGGGGTAAAATCGATAAAATAGTACTTGTTTGCGCTCCTTCATACGGAGTAGAGTGAATTAGTTGGGATATCGCTGGGGCGATCTCTGCGACACTTTCCCTAGCTTAAATTGTACCTAAATATGTGCTGATCATCCGACACTTGCAGGGCCTTAAAAAGCAATATATACAGCTTAAGAGTATCTTAACAAAATGGTTAAACACCAAAATTTAACGATGACTCTTTCTTCTTGAACCAAAATATCCTTGCATCAAACAGAAAGGGATCATCAGGGTAGCAGCATATGTGTCTGGCCATCACTCTGCAAAGCAAAGCGAACGTCAATGGCAATATGTACTATCAGAAACAATAATCAAGCAGTTGTGGCTGTAAACTATTGCTTACCAGCAGTTGGTTAGTGTTTGGTACATACATACCTCGAATTACATACAGCTTACGGGAAATATCACCCTAGTCTTGACTCTGCAGGGAAGGGGCTTTCCCTCCTTCCTCTGATCGCCCAAAAAAGGATGATCTATCCATCTGCTGTCCTTGGCCCACGTTGCCTGGCGCATGAAACTGTCCGCGTGCACAGTGGGTCAAGAATGACAGGCCAAATTCTTCACGCCCCTACAGTGGCTTTCAGTCCTGGTTCCTACAACTGCAAGCAGGTAGGTAGGTATGACTGAGACTCTCTAAAATATTATGACAAGTCTTTACTTTATGTCGGTCTTTCTTTGTTTTATGCTATAGAGGTCCGAATTTTGCTACCTAGGTATAAGAATAGTGGCCTCTTGATTTCATTCTTCTTGTCGAAGCGGATCTCTTAACCATTACAGTTCCATTACAGCCTGACCGATACAGGAAAGTAATTGTGGAAAATAGTTTGTTACAGAAAAAGAAGCCAACCAAGCTGAGCTCCCCGCTCCCTTTTCCTTTTCCATTTTTCTTTTTCTTTTCTTTTTTCTTTTTTTCCTTTTACCCTTCTATTATTCATTTCTTTCCCACTTCCCCTTAATACAAATATCTGATTTCATCATTCCTCTCTTCTTCGTCCCTTTCAACCATACTCCATACATCCTACCTGATTTATTTATTTTTATTTCTATTTCTAATTTTCCTTATTTTTTATTTTTATTTTTATTTTATTTTATTTTATTTTTTACCACCGAATTTCCTCCTTCTCTTTCCCGGTTATCTTACGCTCATACCGAACATACATACATACAACAACCCCCTCCTCGCTCTTCCATTTCCACTTTCTTATCTGGTTCGCACTATTCAATGCCAACCATATCCTCCACTCCCCTCGACCAAGGATCTCCTCCCTCCTCTCAGCATCACCATCTTTCTTACCATTCCCATACATCTACTACATCTGTGCCGGTCTCTTCCACCCCGGCCGACATTCCTTCTTCTATCATTTCCCCTCTCGCTTCACCCGCACCCACGACGTCCAGCACCACTACGACGGCCAATACAACCGCCACCACGACGACTAGTTTCACTGGTTCTGTGATTGGCTCAATCTCACGACGCAACCGACGGTCGTTCGCTGCATTAGCCCGTGAGAAGACCTCCAACGCTCTCGCGAATCTTTCAGCCATCGGAAGCACCACCAATTCCTCGCTCCGGACCTCAGCCTCGTCGGGAAGCCTTTCTAAGCATTCGCGGAAGCCATCGCAGATTAGCACCCACGAAGTTGCTGGTGTTTCACCTCTGACCCCGCCGTTATCCGACGGAAGTACGAGCAGCGATCAATCGAGCCCCGCGTGCATCGAGACCTCGGAGGTAGAATTCCAGCAGAGCTTGAGCGGAAGGCGGCGCCACACTCTTCAACGCAATCCACCTATCTCAGAGCAACAGCTGGAAGCCGGATTTGCCGCACTCCCATCCAAGATGCACCAAACGTCTTCGAGACTGTTGCGTATGACGGAAGATGACCGCCCATTTACAAAGGTATGGAAGAAAAGAAAGCCGGAGCTTCTGGATCAATTTCAGCATGATACATAGAATGCTCAAAAGTTTGAAGACGATGTTTGTTGACGATTTCGGCTTTTGTTTCTGTAGGATTTCATGGACCTTTTTTCCACCCTTATGGTCAGCTTGAAACTGGATTCGCATCGTGTGAGGTTTACGAAATATGACCACACTTTCACATCCGAGGAAGCCATCAACAACCTCGGATCGCTTAAGTTCTCCCAATCGAACCGCATGCCTGATCCCAAGGATCCCTCTCGCATCGTGACCACGACTACGACCACCACCTTTTCTATGGCCAAGGAGATGGCTCGCTCGGTATGCCAGCGTTTCGTTGACGCTCGCTTTATCGAACCCGTTGATGGCAAAGCACTACCGATATTCCCACTGAAAGGCGCGTTGTTTCAGCTCACTCCGAAGGGCATCAATATCTTGCAGAGATTCTGCCAGAGAAACGGTATCACCGCTCGACACGTGATAGATGTGCTGGAATCCCCTCGCAACACGATGCAACTGGTCAATCTGGAGCGCGACACGGAGACTGATAAACTGTCGCATGACCGAGCCACCATCGAAGTCATTTTTCGCCGGTTTGCCGGTCAGGATGGACCCAATGTGAAGAGTAGTATTTCTACTTCGGATTCAGATTCGTTGAGTGACTACTCAAACGGTCTTGTTGGGGTTAAGATGGCCAAGGAACGGAAAATCAACGACAAGATCTACATGAACACCTTCACCGGGAAGGCTGCTGTGGACTGGTTGATGGATTGCTCGACAACCATTGAACGCCGGGAAACCGTCCTCATTGCGGAGCTTTTCGTCAAATACGGCCTGATCACAATGCTTCAAGAAGACAAGGGGTATCCTCAGCCAGATGCGTCCATTGTGGTCTTCCAGCCATCCAAGTACGCTATTTACGGTATCACGGAGCGGGGCCAGCGGGTTTGCGGTTGGATTGCGCGCGACAAGTCCCGCGAGACGTTCTATGACAACCGTGGTATGCCGAAAGACTCGAACAACGCTCGTTTGAACCACATTCTTCACGATCCTGCTCTGCGACTGCTATTCCGTGAATTCCTGCGTTTCTCTCTATGCGAAGAAAACCTGTCATTTTACCTCGATGTGTCGGAATTTACCGCTGCTTACCACAAGGCGGAGAAGATGGGTGCATTCAAGAAGGCCGACGCCGTCCGCGAAACGCTGGCTGCGGCATATGGTAAGCCACTCTTTATAGGGGATTCTGATTGGTTATATGATTTTTGCTCACTTTCTTCCAGGCCTTTACAATGCTTTCCTTGCCCCCGGTTCTCCGTGCGAGCTCAATATCGATCACGCACTGCGCAACAGCTTAGCGAGCCGTATGACAAAGGCTGTAGGTGATGATGAGTCTATGTTCAAAAGCCTTCAGGAGGTTGTGCAGTTGTTTGAGATGGCTCAAACATCCGTTTTCAAGTTAATGTCTAGTGTAAGTTCTTTTTCTTCCGATAACAGCTTGGTTAATCACAGTTCGCTAATGGGGATCAGGACTCTGTTCCCAAGTTCCTACGTGATCCGAAGTATGCGGTTGTCTTGCAGGAGCATGATGTCGACTTGATCGGTGCTCCAAGGGCTTACTCACCTACTCCGGCACCCGTTCCGGAGCGCTCAATGAGTCGTTCAGCACGCTCTTGAACTGTGAGGAGGGAATACGTTCTGCGATCTACATGAGCGCAAAGTCCTTGTAAGGGATGACTGCAACTCTGCCAACGTTCTCTGAACGTTCTCGAGACACGGGGTGTTATATCGTCCGCGGTCCAGCACGCAAACTTTATTGGACTGGTCAAGGAGACTACTACGGCGCTCGAAGTCTCCAGATGATTTGGCACGATTGAATCCCGCCGCTCCCACAGTATGGGAGCATCGAGGGCGAGGGCCCGTTGATACGTCTCGAATTTTCTCACCTCGTTGTCCGTTACGCGCCTCCGACTCGGAGTAACTCCGCCCTACTCCACATAAAATTTTCCTTTTTGATTTCACCGACGCTTGATACACGGTTGAGCTCAACAACAGCTCACGCTTTATGATAATCTTCATTTGTAATCAAGTCATCACGACGGATGAAAGATGTTACGATCTATGGATCATATGATAGAGATGGCCGGAACTGGGGTGTTTATAATATGTTTTCCTTTGTTCGACCCTCGCATATTGAAGAGGAGGCTGAAACCCGACAGTTTTCCAGCATTAGAAAGGCGTTTCGTCCATTTACATCTTGCCTGCATGCATGGCCGCACAGCCTGTTATCATTTTCTTTCAGTTTCCATTGTTTCAGCATATTCCACGTGAAGAGAGATCATGTACATGTCTAAGTATTCTCTTTCCTGCATCCAATTTCCTTCGACTCTTCTGTGATACATTTCAACCTATCAGCGAGTGTATTTCATCTATTCAGTGACAATACATAAAATAATGGGAATATCAATAGTTCTTTCTCATCGCCGGTAGTCATTATCTCTCCATGCTTTTTAAGATATGTCGGAATGAATACCATTGAATCATCTGTGCCTGGAGCTGCGCCAGTGGAGTCAGAATGTACCATGTCTAGCAAAAGACCACTCACTCAACGCCAAAGAGATTCGATGTAAAGAGAAAATGAACAACAGTAGAAATGGAATGATATCAAAGAGACAGATCGAGTGAACGCCTGCAACACGCCTTTTCCTGCAATATGAGATAGGATTAAAGTAGAGAGCGAATAGAGGATACATCGGGCGGGGCCTCCTTGTCTTGTGCTTTCAGCAGCTGCGGCTCACAAAGAAGCATTTCGTACGCTTCAGATTTGCAACTCTTGCCTGATCTGCAGATGCTGTGCAGATGAAATACTATAGTGCTGATTCAGGCAAGAGGTTTAGGGGTTAGGGTTGGGAGGACCAGAAATCAAGAGGCCTCATCATTTCGTCGATCCGGCTCCCCACCCTCTCGCTTTCATGCCTTCTTCGATGGCCGTCCAGATATTCTCGACGACTTCGCGATCGCGCCAACGGCCGGCGCCATGGACGCCGCCTTTCTCGTCCCATCGCTCGACGGCGAAGCTCTGCACGCCGCGGCCCCAGCCGCGGACTTCGCGGGGGACGTCTTCACCGCGCCAGCCGACGTAGATGCCTGTGGCGTGCTTGAAGAGTTCCGGCGGGGAGGTCCACTTGTACGACTTGAACTGCCAGGTTTGGCCCGTTGTGAAAACGGCAACGAGGCGGTTCCAGTAGTCCGGGCGGAAGTTGGCGGTGCTGTCGACGAGGATAAAGCGGGTGGGTTTCTTGGAAGCTGCTCCGGGCTGAGCAGCACCGACTGGACGAGAGGCGGTGGTGGAACCGCTTTCTGAGCGGAGGGGGCGGTAGATGTAGAGGAGGTTGTTGGAGGAGCTGGGCATGGCGAGGGTCGGGTGGTCGGGGGGCACGAAGACGCCGTCCTGCAGGAAGGAGCGGACGTTGGACATGCGGATAAGAGACGAGGCGGAAGGGGAGAGGAGGATGATCGGGTCTTGGTTCTTGGAGCTGCCGCTCTTTCGGGGCTGGGTGAGTCCCGCCGACGGGGCAGGCACGACAGGTTGCGGCTTGCTTCCGGGCTTCGCGCCAGGAGGGTACTGTCCTGTTCGTGAGCGGTTGCGTCCGAGGAAGGTCTCTGCTACTTTGCGAACGTGTGAGAAATCCTAGTTTCCCCCGTTAGCGTTGCCCTTCATTGATCTGCTTTTAAGCCGCCGGGGCGAGAACTCACGGTAGGCTTGATCCCGCGCAGGACACTATTCCGATCGCCCATCTTCCGTTCTCCATTGTAGATCTCCTGTAATCTGGGATCAATCGCCTTCGGCGCCCGTCCACCCTGAGTAGCTACAGCCGTCTGAGCACTGCCAGGCACCGCAGAGACAGCACCTGCAGCCCCGGGAGCAATCGCAGCAGACGCATCTGCCGGAGCGGCAGAGGGTGCGACCGCCGCTGCACCCTCAAGGGGTTTGATGTACTCGCTCTCATCCGAGGCGCCTTCCAGCCAAGTGATGAGATCCAGGCGCTCGACGAAGACCAGATTCTGCACCTTCTCCTCTGGCTCGCCTTCCTTGCGCTCCTTTTGCTTCAGCGACTCGTTCAATTCCTGTGCCGAGGCGATGTACTCGGGGATTGCGACATCTTTCTTCTGCCAAGCGAAGAAGATGCTGCGGAGATCGACGGCGGAGTCTGACGAGGCGGAGACGAAGCGCGTCGGCGCCGTCAGCGGAATGGTCTGTGGGATTGGCTGGCGGAAGTACAGATGGGTAGCCCTAGCCAGGTCTTCGGTCGCATTCTCGTCCGAGAGATCGGAGGTGGTGGTTGGCGTGGGAAGACTACCGGCTGCGATCGCACGGCGAAGCGCAAGGAGCGGGTCGTGGAGGGAGGGGTCGACGGAAGCCATGATAGACGGCAGAGACACTGATCAAAAACGATTACGGGAATGTTTTGAACAGCCTCTGAAGCCCAGGCGGGTATAGAAGGTGGTTGTGTCGAAGAGAGCTGCTGGGCTTGGGAAGAGTTGTTGCAAGCTGGATGAGAGCAAGAGACCCGAGATGTCACGTGATTTTTATAACAGTGTCGATAGGTAGATACAGCTCAACAACAGAAGAAATCATCGAAAATGAGACCCTGCCACTTTCGTCGAGTTCAGAATACAATAATATAGTGTCATATCCAGTTCCATGACTCATGCCTCCGGAAAGCTGTCACTCTGATTTAAAAACTCAAAGCACCATACTATAGTATAACATTTCCAACCAACCAATCTCACCTCACTGTTGGAAGGATATAGCCAAAATGGTGGGCGATCGTCATATGAGCCATTTAAATACTTTATCTGCTCGAGGGTGTTTAAGAGGCGATAGATCTGAGTAACGACAGCGATGGAGGTTATTGCAAAGTATGAGAAGGACGACGTGGACTCGGATGCCTTTGGATTTCTCTTGGCAGTCTCGACCTCGATATCAGTAGAGGCTCTCAAGCAAGCGAGTAACCTCCTCATATAGCCCTCACTGCTCGGTCAGTCCGTATTTGTTCAAACGTGAACAAAGCAACCACTCGTCAGCGGAAAGCGTCGTTTGATGGGCGAACTTCCTCTTCTAGTGCCATCCGTATTAATGGCGTGTCATTCCATAGTAGCGTCTCAGCCTTGAGCTCCTCCTCATAGTCATCCTCTGTGAATGCATCGCGAATGATCTGTTGAATTTCCGGGAATCGTTCTGTACTGTTCCACCAGCCGCAATGCCTCAGCTTCATTAGGATGAGAGCGATTGCATTCTTTCGCATACAGTCCGAACGGCAGCCGGTGCACGAGGCCAGTGAAAGACGCGGGTAGAGATAGCTGCCTAGTTTCAGGAGCACGCGGCAGCACTGACACGTACCAATTTGGGCACGAGATGCGAGAGAGAGCGTAATGTCTTCTGTGTCGTTGCAGTCAACTGGACTATCCAAAGCGTCTAAATCAGCCTGAAAGTCCCATATGCAGGGACCAGTGTCCCATACACAACGGAGGCGAGGGCCAACCCTCGGCGATTCGTTCTTTGGCATGGAATAGATGCAAGGAGGCTGCAATGGGGTCATGCGTTCGGAATAGGAATGGATCTGGAAGAGGTAGGCTGGCGTCTTTGGTCTCCATAATGAACCTCTGCGCTGTCAGTCAGAAGTACTTGCGGTGTAAGCAAGATTCCCCTAGGTACAGACATGGACCTTGCTCGCTGTGCTGGTTCTGATCTCGGGTATCATCATTCCATTGGTCGGGAGCATCAGTTGGAGGGGAAGTTTGAATGTGTCCATTCGGCCACTTCTGTCTGCCGTTAGACGGTCTGACGATGGGGTGGGGAGAGACAGATCGCATCGTCAAACTCTGTGTTAACATGTCGCTTCCAAGCCTCGTCAATCTGCTAATCTTGGCTCAGTGACACTGACGATGCCACGAGTCCTGGGGTACGCTGTGGTCTGAGGTTAGCAATCGTATGGTGATGGAGTTAAAGGCACAGCAGCACAGCTTCGGGAAATTTGGCTGGCTCTGTTGGTGGCCCGTCGCCTTCAGGAAGGTAAGTTGCGACCCTCGGAACAGTTGGTGGTTGCAGAGTCCATAACTGTCCCTAAACTTATTCATTCAGGGTATTGGTATTAGATCCAATGAACTGCTCAGATTAAGCGCTATAGGTAAAATAAGCTTCATCACCAGTGACAGTCAGGTGATGAACCAGGCACGCACATAAGGCAGTGTCGTGCCTGCTCTCGATCCCTCTATCCTCACATTCAACCACCATTTCTGAAACTAAAGACAAAATTCCTATAGCCTCCCGATGTCAACCGAAATCACCTTCGACGTCAACGGGCTCTACATTCTTCTGTCTGACCGTGGCGAAAACAGCTACACATTCCACTGGGCCCTCTACCTTCACCAGGCCGAGAATTCAGGCTACCTCTATCATCTGATAAACGAGTCCGACTCAACTAGTAGCTGGCGCTTTGACCCGCAACCCAGCCAGGACGCCATCGACTCTCAGCGACTGCTCGTGGCCCTCAATATCGGAGTTTTAGAGCCTACACTCCATCAGGCTTTGCTTGATCGGCTTCGGCAAATCCCAATCGCGTATTCAACTCGTTTCCACGAGAATATCACCAGCCGGGTGTGGCTCAAAGAGGCACTCTTTGCATTGGATGACGAAGGTTATATCAAGCTCACAGAGGGTGTGAACGACATTGAAGCCGAGGCAACGAACCTCGCGATGCGAAATAAAATTCGAGGCACGAAGACGGTTGCTCGCAGTAGTGGAAGCCAAGCTTGAGGTTCCATGCGCCATCCAAGAGCGTTGTGAATTGGACTGTGTATTTCCGGTGCATATTCGATAGACTTTCAAATGAGAAACCAGCGACGATTGGACTAAACCGGTACAACAACACGATTTATAATCCCCTTATCGTTTCCATTGTGTTGCTCATTCGATCGAATGTCTTCGATTTCAATGGCTGACTGACGAAATGCAGTGATATCACTCTCCATTTCTGTCGAACTGCTATAGCCTGCGTATACTGTGATTTGTCAATGAGGATCCCTGGCTAGAATCAGTTGAATTGTATAATATCGAAAGTATGAATAATAATCAGGCCAAAGTGGACCAAGAGCACAAGGGACCAACAGGGCGGATATAGATTATCAGCTATGTCATCATATCCGTCATCCGTATCTCCGGGAAACACAACAAACCTTGAGGAATCCCATGTTCGCCAGGAATGAACATTCAACGAACGACTCAAGAGCTCGAATGTCGGAGCCTGCTGCTGGTGAAGGTCGGGGTATGATGCACACCGCTCAATACAGCGGACCTAGAAGGCCAGGACAACTACAATATCTGAAAAAAGGTATCTCTTGTAGATATCTGCATTGGTCATCTCAACTGATGAATCAGATCATAATGCCGTTAATCTCCGTGGGACACAGAGTCGTCGCAGATACTGCTCGGAAAAAGAAATTCCTAAGAATAAGGAAAGAGAAGAAAAGAAGTCACAGTAGAAACGGCAAAATAGTAAAAAGACAAATCGTGAAGCAGACGCTGCACCAGCGATTAGACCAAATTCCATGTGCCCATCCCGAGCCCCATAATATTTCCGCTTCCAACCAAACGCCAGACGCGCCTTTTGTGTATGAAAAAGAAACCTGACTCCATGGCTAGAACGCCTTAGTTCCCACCGTGTACACGAACAGAAATGGTAGTGTGTAGAAAGACAAGCAGATTAGAAAGGAGACGGTCACAAATGTGCTCCCTTAGGAGACAACATGGAAGAACGAAAAGAAAGATCCCGCCAATTACCACAGAAGCGCAGCAAGCGTTACCAGCAGACAAATGCGCCTAGAAAAAGAATGAGCGAACATGTGAGGTCGGCGCCGAACTGGGAGCGTCATTCACAGTCACGTCCGGTGATGTGGGACTTTCTCGCTTAGTTGCTTCAGCTTCTCCAGTCGCTTTGATCTCGGGGTGCAGAGTGTCCACCGGCGCGGATGCATCGCGGGTCGCGGTCGATTGATCGGAAACAGGCTTCTGTGGAGGAAGCATGGCAGTCGCTTGCGCTTGACTCTTCTCGGACGTCGGGGTGGTCAGTGCTCCCCTTCGGCTGAGATAATCACCAAGACTAAGCTTCTTCTTGACAGGGCTCGGCGCAGTCACCCCAGACCCTGGAGTTGCCGCGGCAGGTTGCGCTAGTGCATCCAGGGTAGATGGCGATGACACCGTCGACCCCGTCGCCGATCCCGGACTGATGGCAGCCGGTCCTGCGGGGTGAGTAGCGGGGGGAAGAGAAACCCAGAGATTTGTACGGTGACCGTTCACCTTGCTTCCTGGTAACAGAGCATTGTGGGCAGCAGTGGATGGCCAGGGAGGGGGTAGAGGAGGCTTGGTCAACGCCCTAGGAGCCGACGGGGGAGTCGATGCTTTTGTTTCTGCCTCTTGAGCCTGTGATTGACCGGAGGACACGACCGTAGGCGAGTCGGAATCCTTCATTTCCACGTCTTCCTGCTCGGTCAAGGGAGTTTTGAGAGGTGTAACATTCGGGTACAAGCCGCCGTGAAGACTCGAAGACAGAGGTGAGAGCGCAGCTGGAGACGGCGATGGCCGTCTTCGACTGTTTCCCTCCAAGCGAACACGATCTGCATGACAGCGCTTGAGTAGCCGTTGCGTGAGGGGTACATAGCTAGGCCGTCGTAGGGATGGCGCAGCAGACAGCACTGACGTATCAGCCTCAGGCTCCGTCTGAATGGCCGAGTCCACATAGTGCGGACGTCGCAGCGGAGACCGCCCGTGAGAAGCGCCAATACCGGAGGGCTTCCTAGGCATGGATCCTGAGGGCTGGGCCGAAGAGGACGAGCGAGAATGACCTTGGGCTGATACAGCCTGATGAGCTGACTGGCCTGCCTGGGTCTGAGGTACCAAGGTTGCTTGGCCACTGTTTCGCTTCTTCTTCTTGTGCGCCTGCTGATCATGTTCTAGCTGCTGGAATTTCTTTTCCGCTGCCGCAATCTTGCGCTTTTCTCGAGCGGACAACTCAGACTCGCCATCGTGCTGCAGTGTAGGAGTAAGATCCCGACTGCGCGGCTGGCCCCGTGAAGACCCTGATGTGGAACGACTGTCGGGCTGATCGTCATCCTCCATATTCTTGGTCGTTTCACTGCCTGCGCGACTGTTTGTCGCGGGCGGCGAGGCGGCGGATTTCGTCTTGGCTTTCTTCCGCTTACCGTTGACCTGCTTCGACTCGAGCGCCTTCGGGTGTCGCCGGCGATCAACGCTAGCCAGTAAGCAATTAGATGAAGGCTCGCACGCGCAGCCACCGAAGTTTGCAAGCACATTGCTGATGCAAATTGCAGCTACTTCCTGAGCGCTGTCACTCGGCTCCTGCTTGACCAGACCGTGCGTCGACTCGAAGAGTTGGGGATCCAAATACCACATGGCCGTAATCTCCGAGTCGGCCGAGATGTCTTCTTTAGCAACGAAGCAGAAATGATACTCGACCTCGTTGGTGATGTAAGTCTTGATCGTGACATTGGGCCGACACGAGCGACGCACATAACGCAGGATACTACCCTCGTGTCGACTGTCAATGTAGATGGGGAGTTGGGGGTGGAAGAATACGAAAGGTTCCGGATGACGAAGCTCCTGCCAGCGATTGCTAGGATCCAGGCAATAGTCTCGCAAAAGGCCAATCTTGCCAGTAATCTCACCGACAATGTGGTCTTTGGAGACACTCTCGCGAGTCCTGAGAACCTTCCACGTCGGGTGTTGTCCTTCAATATCGATGCTGGGGTCGGTGATTGTTTCTGTAGATAATGAAGGCCAGAGCGACCGGTCCAGTGCAGTATCCGACCAGGTGAAGATGTCACGAGACGATCGCCCATTGGAAACTCGAGCGAGCGCAGTTGGCTCTGTCACCCAGGACGCCAAGTCTGCCGCAAGAGGGAGGTTGACAAAGAGGTTGCTATTCATGGGGGCATAGTCCTGATCATGATCATAGAGATGTAGAAATTCATTCGAGTAAAGGGGGATGGACGGCCCAAGGGACTTAGTAGGACTCATGGAAGTTGCGACACGTCTGCGGGCATCGGGTGGGAAGGGCGCAGCACCAGGAACAGAACTGATGGATCCGGAGGCGCGATGGGTGGCTTTGGCTTTTTTGGCAGGGGGCTGGTCTCTAGAAATCGAGTCCGCCCGCTGATGGAACCCGTTCACCTTGTCACCGTGGTCCTTGATCCTTTTCTTCTGACCTTTCGCTCCGGCACGTTTCGCTTTCCGGTCACCGCTGTCGCCGACCTCCCTGAGACGTCTCTGCCGCTCGGTGGCACGCTTAGCATCGAGGTAGCGGGGCTCGCAGTCCACGCAATTGTGGACTTCAGGCACGTGGCGACCGTGATAGTAGCACTCGATATGCTGCCAAGTCTCGCACCCTTCGCAAAAGACCGTGTTGCCATCATCATCTTCGAAGGCGCAGATGCATTTGATGGTATACGGCTCTTCCTCGTCAGGGGCGGCAGAGTCGGAAACGGCGCCGTTGAGGGCGGGCGAGTTCAGGGGTACGGTGACCGGATAGGGCTCCGTGGTTGAGTGCGTGATGGCGACTGGGGAGGTATCTGTCATAATCTGACAGAGTACCCCCTCCACGAAAGAATTAAAAAAACGCGCTGTGGTGTATTGTTGGGTGGTTGTGGGCTTCAAATAACCCGTTCTGACCCAACAGGCATGCCAGCTACCACCAAATGGATGGTTACACGTCTTTACTCAGTTCTTTCCCAATAATCGACAACACCTGCGGTATAGTGAAAGAATCTGGTCAGGTCCTTCAAAGCGGGATCGAACACAGTAGCCCCAAAAAGGACGCGAAATGGAAAGAACCGCGAGCTCTACCGAGAAATCGTTGCTGAAGTGTGCCAAATCGTCAAGATTGAGGATTATCGATCGAGGTGAGGCAAGCAAGACTTCAGAGCAGTGGACCTGGATTGCGCGTGCGACCGTGAAACGAGATTACCGTTATCGAGAATTAGAAGCCGTCGATCGTGTAGAGGCTGGCGGGTCACGAATCGCATGGAGAGAAGATGCGAAAGGACGATTCGACTGCTGAAGGACTCGAAAGTGCTGGAAAGGGTTCGAAGGAAGAACGGAGCTGGAGGGCGAGCAGGAGTACGTAGACGGGAGAAAGTGGAAGAAAAGAAGAAGATGATGAGGAGGTGAATGGAAAGATGGTATGATGGAAAAAATGGTGAATAAAGGATGGATCTGGATGAGAAACGAAGAAGATAATGGGTAAGCGAGCAGAGTGAAGGGAAGCGAGAGAGGGAGGGCGAGGAGGAGAGGGAGGTACTAGGTACGGGTAGGTGTGGTAAGAGACAAGAGACAGAGAGCAGCGAGAGGCTAAAGGCACGGATGGGCCATTCAAGCGGCGTTCCAGAAGTCCCAGAGAGAAAGAGGAAAAGCGTGGAATTTTTTTCTCTTCCCACCCGCTCTCAGTTCTGGGGATCAGCTTCGGGCAACCTGGTTAGAGATCACGAGCTTGATCATCGCTTTGATAAATCGGAAATTCGACAAAATCGAGAGAAAAATAAATCTAACAAATTAATAAAATAAAACGATGAAAGTTTGCCAGGAATAAAATTAGAATGTTGACGATGATTGTGAAAAGCTCGGGAAAAGGGAAGGGGAAGCCGACGAATGTCAGCCCAGCCGGCCATCGAGGAATCGATCCAAGGGACGACAAGTCAACGACAGTCTCAAAGATCGAGAAGAGGGGGAGCAAGGATGCGAGAGAAAGCAGGCAAGAAAACCTAGACCAGAACAGGCGGTTTGTTTCGAGTTCGGGTTCATCCTGGAGCTGCCGGAAACGAACACGACCAGTGAGCTGCTGGGCGAGGA